GCTCTTTGTAGTGAAGTCTCTGCCTCTAAGGTGGAGACTTTATAAATCTGTTCAGTGATTTTCTGATTCAGAATCATTAAGTGGATGTTTATTTGACCAGTTTTATGTACATATATAATATACAATATTGATTAAGACACAAAGATCTTGTGGTTTGCTTCCTACTACGAGAGCAGCATGCTTCTAAGGCTTCAGAGTCAGCTTTTGCTTGGAAACATTTATAAAATTTTAGCTTACTTTTATCAGCCCACTTATCAACCCATCTACAAAGATCAGGAACCAGAAGCCTTCCCGCTTACCTCTATCATTTCACATGGAGGACCTCAGACTGTACCGGTATCCTCTTTCTCTTAAACTCCCCAAATTTGTCAGTGTTCCTGACCTGCAAGAAGTGCCATTACTTATTCCCTTTAAATTATGGGATTTTCTTAGCCATGGAGCAGATAACAGTCCAATTTCCTGAGGATTTTATAGGTATCATTTATGCTTATGAAATATACCACTTTGAGATTCTTCGTGGTTACCAATTTGGTTTATCCAATTATACATCTTATTGATCCTATATAATAACTACGTGGTCATGAAACACATAGGAACTGTGAGCTGTCAGAAAACACCTATATTGGTCTCCGCCCTGGCTCCTGGCACCAAGTTCCTAAAACCCTTGCCGTTTTCTAAGTGACACAAGGAGTATCCTTGTTCTAATGTTTGTCTTTGACCCCGTCCCTGACACAGGGCTCCTAAAACCTTTGGAAATTTCTAAGTGATTAGAGTTTAGGGAGCATCTTGATCCTAATGAGGGGACTCTGGGTGGGCTCCTGGGTGGGGCTGTCACCAGAAAGACCAAGCCATCAGGAGAAGCTTGGAATTTTCAGCCCCATAGCCTGTCCTCCACAGGGGAGAGGGCCTGGAAATTGGAGTCACTCATTGGCCATGCCTGTGTGAGGAAGCTCCGTAAAGTCCTGATAGTGGAGGGTTCAGGGCACTTCCGGGTTGGGGCACACGTGGAGGTGTAGTGCGTGGAGAGTGGGCCCAGAGAGGGCGCAAGTGCTCCACCCCTTTCCCTCAGGCCTGGCCCTCTGCATCTCTGCATCTGGATGTTCACCTGGGTCCTTTATCACATCCTGTAATAAGCTGGGAAACAGGAAGTAAACTTGTTACCTTGAATTCTGTGAGCTGCTGCAGCAAATTAATCAGACCCCAGGATGGGGTCGTGGGAACCTTCAGTGTACAGCCGATTGGTCAGAAGCACAGCTGACAGTCTGGACTTGTGACCACATCTCAGGGAGAGGGGGCAGTCTGTGGCCCTGGGCCCTTAACCTGTGGGGTCTGATGCTCTCTCTCCAGTGTACAGTGTCAGGATTGACACCCAGCTGGTGTCACAGAAGGACTTCGGGTGGGGAGCCCCCCACATTTGGTGACTAGAAGTATCAGCAGTAAAGTGCTATATGTAAAAGTAAAGGAGTCACACAGGAAAGAAACCCACAGCGGGGAGCATTGGGGTGTCCCTACACAGGCAGGGAAGAGCTGGTGGATTTTCTGGATGGGAGCATGAAAAGTACTTTACATGACACAGATGCTGTATTCCTAATCATCTTTTAGGCAGGCCATTGAGGGACATTCCACACGTGTGCTTCTGTCTCCTTTTCGTGACTGCTCTACTGACCATGTCTTTCAAGTTTATCTTTCTTTTTTACAGAAATTTTATTAAGTTTTCGGGTAGGCTTTTAATCTATATTAAGAACTTTCACAGGATAATTTTTCTAAATTTAAGGCATTTGGAACAATATACCAGTTAAAGAGTATTTCATTCCAATTTATATAAGTATAGCCTATTAACTTGAGGATTATAGAAAGAGTGAGGAGAAAGAAATGGTCTTTGTCATGCACTCATTAAAAATAGAATCTTTACCACTATTAAAGCAGTTTGTTCAGTACTAGATAGTTAATTCTTACTTAGCTGGTCTTGAGTTAAAGTAATCTTACTTTCACAAAGTCATTTGTTTCCTGGCTTAATACGTTTTGGAAATTGTAACTGTCCCCTTTTACAATCTCACAGGTGCCTGTTTGAGATAATGCTGTCAGCTAATATAGGGAAATCTGTCCCCGTAAATCTATTCCCAGTAGTATCATTAGTCAGGAATAACTGATACAGTCATTTCCTGAGGCCATTTTGATGTTTCTTCCGGCAGTATCAGTTTTTGCTTGTAGCTATGGCTTTTAGGCAATTGTATGAAAAAAAATCAGAAACCACCTTTAGATGACAACAGCAATGGCTTTGATTAACCTATTATAATTACTAATAATATCATAATGAATGGAAGTGAAGTCCTTTATAAATCATTCATAACGATTTAACAAAAACTTAGAGGATGAAACCATATTATAGAAAGTAAAGGCACTGACAGTTCTCCAGAATCTTCTGATACATCCAGTAAAATGTATGTTATGATTGTCACCAACTGGCAAGGTAATCAAACCTAGAAAAACAAGTGTTCTTTATAAAGAGGATAAAGTTTTGACAGTTACTGTTCTTGTCTAGTATAGGAACGTTAGTATGCTTTTGTTCAACCGTCAAAGTATGCAATAGTTAAAACATATATACATTAATAAAATATGACTTTACATAATTACCCTAGGGAACTTAGACTTCTTTTTGATTTGCCGGACAGGACAGCTCTTGGGATAGTGATGTGTGTATTAAAACCTGGACTCCCTCATCACCTGTGGTATAAGGTCAAGGACAGGCCCTTGGTGTGACTCACTCAGCAGCTGTCTGGGCAATGTCAAAGATAGTTTAAGGATAGGAGACATATTTTTCGTTTTTAAAGATTTTATTGGGGAATTGGGGAAGGGAAACAGACATGTTGCTGTCCTTTTGTTCTTCAGTCTAGTTGTGGAGGACGTCACTTCACTGGCCCATGTTGGTATTATCATTGTGCTCTTTCCAGGTGAGGCAGATCAGTCGCGGGTCACTGGACGGTTGCTCACAGCGGCTCTTGGCAGCTCACGCCGGCTGCCAGCCACTCACGGTAGCTTACAGGAGCCCACTGCAGCCTACGCTGTCGCCGGCCACTCATGGCAACCCAGCTCCAGGTCAAGCCACCATCCACCATCTCAGCTGTAAAGGGCGCAGTGTCACTGTCCCACATGGGGATCCGAACTGGGGCCCTGCTGCTCAGAGCTGGCGTCCCAAGCCAACTCTTAACCAACGTGCCACTCGGCTGGCCCAGAATAGGAGACATCTTAATAATTTTACTATTTTGAATTTGGGGCCTAGATTAAAGATGACAAGATGTGAAAATAAGGTGATGAATGCTTAAAGCCAAGAAATATTTAAGATATACTCAATAGCTATTAACAATGATTGTCAGGGGGCCAGCCGAGTAGTGCGTTGGTTAAGAGCTGGCCTGGGACACCAGCTCTGTGCAGCAGGGCCCCAGTTCGGATCCCACATGTGGGACAGTGACACTGCCCTCTACAGCTAAGATGGTGAACAACAGCTCAACCTGGAGCTGGGATGCCGTGAGTCGCCAGCAATGGTGTAGTCTGCAGCCCCTGCTGCAGTGGGTTGCCATAAGCTACCGTGAGCGGCCAGCAGCCAGCGTGAGTGGCCAGCAGCTGATGTGAGCTGCCAAGAGCCGCTGTGAGCGGCTGTCCAGAGGCCAGCGACCGATCTGCCTCACCCGGGACGAGCGCAATGATAATACCAACATGGGCCAGTGAAGCGACATCCTTCACAACTAGACTGAAGAACCAAAGAACAGCAACTTGTCTGTTCCCCTCTCCCAGTTCCCCAATAAAATCTTTTTTTAAAAAACAAAACAACAATGATTGTTAGGAATCCTAGCTTTTTATATTTTTTTCTTAAGTACTTGTATAATCTTTCTCCAGTTTGGTGGTGGATTTGCCCATCTGAATTAGATATCCCTGTATGGCATCCAAATGATAAATTAATAAACCTGCTAATCTGCCATGGAGCAAGAAAGCTGGCCACAAATACTGAATGGGTTACCTTTATAAATAGAACGTTATGAAAGGCACGTTACCTTCTTTTGATCAGAAAAGCAACAGGGTTTTTTATTTACACATATACATAGATCGAGCAGTCTTGTTTCTGCACCTGCAGCCAGAGGCCAGAAGTGAACACCTGTCACAAACCGTGCATCCAGCTTCCTGTCGGTTGGGGCAGTCCTGTGTCTGCAGTGGCCGCTCTTCAGTCCTCCAGGCAGAGAGGTCTTCCTCCTGAGTGATGTAGACTAACAGTGGCACACAGTCAAATGAGTACCACAGAGAATGCTGGCAGTGTTCAGTCTCCAAGACAAACTGACAAAGACAGCCATATTCTCTCTCTTAATCTGCCAGCCTGCAGCGCTCACATGGTGCAGAGTATTAAACGAATGAGAGAGTCCCATGTTGTTATCAGCAACAGGGAAGTAAGCAGCCATGTCTAACTCAGCACCACAGTTAGACTTGACCAAGAACGAGGGAGACACCTTCTCACATGATCAGCAATCCGTAATGGCATCATGTACCGTAGACCTCAGCATTGCAAACTCAAGGATAGAATCATGTTTGTTAGGGAGCCGGTCAGTAATTAATGGGATGTACTCAGGGCTTATTTATTTTGGGGACTAGAGCTATGCAGGTGACCCTGGAATTTCTTGTGGTTTTGTATGTTTGCTCACTTCCGACTGCCAGATGTTTTCTTCCCTGACTACTGTCTGTTATATGCTTGCTTATACCCTAATGGCAACAGGGTAAATGTCAGTTTTATTTCCATTCCTGTTTTAGCTGGATGTATAATTCCTGAAAGGCTGTTCCAGAAATGGAGGTTTTAAAAGTATATGAAAGGACTTGACACCTGTCCCCCCAAAAATATGCATTTAAGACTGAAGCCTCTGTTAAATACTCTTGATAGAGTGATCTGTTTTCTATATTTGACCACAATAGGAAATTTCATTGCCTCTGACTGTTTTTTCATTCTTTTCTGATCATAGCCCAAAGAGCCGATTGATCCAATTAAAGAAAGAGAAGCTGGAGTACTCCCCAGGAGAGCATGAATATGGGTTATTCCCAGCCCCCATTCATGTTGGTGAGTATCTGTATACACTGAGCATACTGCTGAGAAGAAATGTTGTTTCTCGAGTTTGTGTGAAGTGTCTTCTGTATCTCCAGTGGGATAGAGCTCTTTCTTTACCATCTAATTTGTATACTCACTCTAAAGAATTCCACAAACTCTTTGTTGTCTAGGAGTCAAAATGACATAACCTTCCTCCCTGGAGTTTCAGTAAATAACATACATTGTAGCATTTGGTTCCCTAAGCACATCATTTAGGAAAACCCAACTATTGGGTTGTCAGAAAAGTCATGACGCACTTTTGCAACGAAAACCAGAAAAATATGTCATGACTTTTCCGACAATCCAATATTTGGCAGTTCGGTTTCAAATGTTTTCCGTGTTCAAAAGGAGTGAGATGACTATGGGTATGTAATAATCCAAGATAATTTAGCTGCTTGAAAATTGAACAAGATTTATCTTCCTGTTTATTTTTGGAGAAAATGTCAAGGCTTTGTTTAGCATTTGTGTAACAGTACCTTCTAGGATCCTGCTATGAAGCGTGTCAGACAAGTGAAAGATACCTGGAGGTCATCCTAGATTCCTCCCACTCTTTCAGCGCCTTATCCAGTCCATCTCCAAGTTCTGTTATTTCCACCCTTGAACTATCTTCTACTCTCCAAATTCCATGGCCACCGCCCAGGTCTGTGCCACTCTTATCTTTGCTCCAGCTACTGCAGTAGCCTTTCAACAGATCTGTCCACTTCCATGCTTGCCCCCCTCCAATTCACTCTCCACACAGTGAAAAGAGGAATGATTTTATAACTTCAAATAGATGATACTTCAAACCTTCCAGTGGCTCACCATTAGCGTAAACTACCCACTCCGTAGCCTGACTTAAGAATGACCTGACCCCTGACTGCCCAGCAGCCCCCATACCTCCATTCCTGTCTTGTCCTCATTTACTGGGTTAGGTCATGTTGGTCTTTCAAATCCTAGAGCAGACCAGCTCTTTCCCACCAGAGGATCATTACGCTTATTATTCCCATTGCCCAAAAAGCTCTTCAGACTCTTCCCATGATTGGCTCCTTCTCATCCTTTAAGGATGAGCCTAATGTCATTATCAACTAAATATCATTTGCTTTAAAATTGTTTTCCTGGTTGTCCCACCAAAGAGGGTCCCTTCTTTATTCTGTATCAAGGACCCTGTTTTTCTTTCTAGAATCTGTAATGACTATGTGTTTACTCAGTGTTATCTGTCTCCCCCATTATATTACAAGCTCCAGGAGTACAAGACCACTTGTCTTATTCTCCTTTGATTTCCTAGTGTCTGGTACAGAATAGAACTTTAACAGTTATTTGTGGTATAAATGAAAAAAAAGGAGAAATGAGGCTAAGTTGCTGAGTGTAGGTGACAGTATTTCCTCAGGAGCAGCTTTCCTGTGGAGTAGATTTCCTGTGGAGTAGATGTGGGCCCCACGTGCAGAGTGTTCTCTTCAGCTGTGCCCCTCCTGTCCATCCTCACTGTGGGGCTCATCTCGGTGTCCCCATTATCCATTCCCCGGCTTCTCCCCAGGGGGCCCTGCACCGGGGGTATGTAGAGCAGCAGGCTTGGACAGGTTCTGCGCTGAAGACCCATTTGCTGTAATTATTCTGTACTGGGTAGCTGGAGAATGGTTTAACTATAACACAGAGTTACAAGGCTTAAGCCTCAGCTAGATAACTAAGCTAGTGCGTGTTTAATGAAGGTAAGAATTAAGTTCCATTTTCTCTGGGCTCAATGCCAAAGTTCTTTTGAAAAAGCCTTTTGTTTTTACTGGTGAGGTCATAGCAGTGGAAACAGATTCTCAACAAATTTACCTATTTCCTAGAACCTACTAATGATAAATAGGCTTTGAAAATAAGTAATTTATAAGTTCCATTTAAAGGAAAACATGACCTTCTTTCAGAGAGAAAAGTAAAGGCTTTTTTTGCTCCTTCCATAGTATTGGGTGACAAGACTTGCAATTTCAAGACTCGAGCACATGGGAAGAAAAATTCACCAAAAAATAAGATTACATCTAATTTTCAGATGGGATTTAAATGATTTTTTCCCATTTTTGAGGATTACTGAGAGAATCATTGTTTTTCTAAATAAGGAGCTCCTGCCTAGGTTCCCCCAAAGTATCAGCTCCAGCAGGATTTAAGCAAGAAAACCTCTAGGTAGATCTCGCTTCGCCATACATTGGCCGGCTCTGGTTTCAGAAACACTACGGGAAAGGAAAGACTGACCCATCGGTTTTAGTTCCCAATTCTCAATATATGGATTGGAGAGGAGGAATACAAATAATACCAGGAAAAGCATCATTAATAACTATGGAGACTCGTTGCTAGGAACAATCGAGATGTTGGGCTGTGGGAGAAAATTGTTCTTTGGGATTAGTGGAAATAGATATAGAAATTTCTTTCCTAGAAAGAAAAAGTATTCTTCTAAAAAATGCAAAACTTAACAGTCTGCTCCTTCATTCTTATACATTCTCTTCTCTACAGTAAACATGTAAGATATTACTGGTAAGGAAAAGAGTTAACTTTTTAAGGGGTTTTTCCTTTTAAAAAATTCAACTGAGTAAATTTGAATATCTAATTGGCTTTATTCAGCAGTTCATGAATCGGGCAGCGTCCCGTCTAGCTGGTAGAACAGAGTTCCAGGGAGCTGTACAAAAATGGAAGGCCTTTAAAGGTAGAATGGGGTGAGACAAGGAAGTCGTCCTACACAGAAGAAAGGATTATTTCAAGCAGAGTCTCCTTTCTTTCTTGGGGCGGGGTGTGGGGGTGGATCTATCAGGCAGATTACCCCACTATTGCTGACCAGGAAATTACATTCCTAGGGAAGGTTGAAACTATAATTAAGTCTTAAGTTTGGTGACATGGGCTTAGCACAGGTGACTCCATTTCAGGCCCGTTGTCTCTTTTTTAACAGTCCTATCTTACGACCAATTTTGACTTTTTAAAAAATTATTTTTATATTTTTAAGAAACAGTATATATTGATAAGAAAAGTTTTAATATAGAAGGGTGTGAGTTAAAAGATAAAGTCCCCCTTCCTAGAGATATAATGGTTTCTAGCGTATACTCTCAAACCTTTCCTGTATAGTTGTTTTTTTCCAACACTTTATTATGAACTTTACAACACAAAAAAAGTTGAAAATTTTTAGTGAACACAATATCCCTTCACCTAAATTTTGTCATTAACATTGGACTTTATTTACTTTATCATATATTTATCCATCTGTTAATCCCTCTCATTTTTTAATGCACTCCACAGCAAACTGCAGGCATTGGTATCCTTCCTCCAAAATATTTCGGCATACACATAGGGCCGAGATCTCAGTATTTGTTTATACATTTTTCTGTAGAGGTGAATTCACCATCAATAAAACGCACAAATCTTAAATGTACATTTGCTGAGGTTTTTAAATTTTCCATGCACCTGTGCAACCCAAACCTTCCTAAGGCCGTTATCACCCCCAGAAAGTTCCCTCATGCCCTTTCCCAGTCAGTTCCTACCATATCTAGCTATTGAGCTTTTTTTTGAAGTTTTAAAAAAATGAGTCTATGTTATAATATTGTTCTGTTGTACAACTTGGAGAATATGTTTCATGTGAGTAAATACATACCTCATTTCACTTTAACAGCTGCACATCTCTTTATTTAAATGTACTAAAGCTTACTTCCCCATTGGTAAACCCTTAAGTTGTTTCCAGTTTTTCATTGCAGGTCTTGTAGTTACACATTCAGCTTTGGTTCCCTATCAACAAGTGGACTCTAGACTTCTACCAGATGTAACCCCAGAATCTTGGTGTATTGCCTTACCTCCATGGTTGTTCCTTCCTACATATACCTGTAATCCATGCTGCTGTGTCATCAGATTTGTCAATAAATAAACTCATGACACAGTACATGTTAAAATAGCGTATTTTTATGAAAAATAACTAAATAGCATATTTTTATGAAAAATAACTTTCCCAAAAATTTTTTAATGAGAAAAGTGAGTTTATTTTACATTTTTACAAATGTCTTTAATGCCTGTCTTAATATAAGACACTGGATTTTCTAATCTGTTTTTGCATTCGATCTGTTGGCATGTTATTTTGGTTTAAGTACATGAAAAAATCTGACCTCACACAGGTAAAAAGTTGTAAAAGAGAAGAATATTTTAATAATTTTAGATAATTGTTGATATTCTTTGATAGCAAAAATATAAATGTAATATTTCCTTAAAGGTGAGTTGCAATGCGGAGTTTGAAATCAATGAACTTTTTGTATTCTGTTACATTAATATCCATTTGTATTTCTTGAAATTTGAATGGATTTTTACCCATGTCTGATTTTTGTCACTTCATGCATTGGTCATCGAAAAATACTTACTGCTTTGTTGAATTCTGTTGCTCTTCCGTTCCCTGTATGTATCCAAAACAGTTCACATTTGTTTGTATTGCCACTTATTTCATGAAAAAATTTTAAGTATTGGGAAACAGTCTCACAGTAGTGGACCTCAAGTTTTCCAAACTCCAGTGTTCACTTCAGACTTGCACGTTATCGTTGGACACAGGTATTTTCAGTTGTTTCTAGGAGTAACAAGCTCGCTTCCCTCTGCCTCAATTCCAAGTCAGAATAATTGGAGTGTGTCAGTTCTTTCAAGTAAAAACGGTGTTCATTTAAAAAGCAACTGATTCAGCCCTCTGTCCTCTTGTTTGCACAGTGCATTTCCATGCGACAGCGTCACACCTCCAAGTGTACCTTTATGTGCACTGCCACTGTGTCCTGTGAACGGTTACACTGTTTGACGCATGGGTCAGGATTTAATCTAATTTTTATTACTTCATCAAGAGTATCCTGACTGATGCGGGCACAGTTCGTTTCTGCTGGTTACATTTTGCTCGTTTGGTGCCACTTGCCTCGATTTACATGGAGGTGCCAGCAGTTTCACCCGCCATTGCTTTACACCGTTAGTGCGAGTGTCAGCGTCATGAAAATGCATATAATGTCTCGGTAATAGTATTAGTTTGACCTCTGGCATCACTTTTAGAAGTGCTGCTCTAGAGACAACAATCAGGACAAATATCCAAATAACTAAGGAAACTGTAAGTCCTACGAGAAGTGCGTTGCACATTACTGCACATTAAGGACGGAAAGGTCATACAAAGTAAAGAAACTGAAGCAGCCTAAGAAGCCTTTGAAATTGGCTTTAAAAAGTAGTGGTGTTTTAATAGGAAAAAAATTAACAAATCATAAATTTCCCTGTAAACACTCTATTAAGCTCAGGGACTCCCATTTTAAAAAACTCTTCTACTTCCCCGCTTTATAGTCAGCCATAGATTATGTATAATAATGGAGGAGTGGGGACCAGATGCACTAGTTAGTAGTCTTAATAATCGGACAGTTCTTAGTATTTCATTTGCTTCATTTTGTCCTGCGTATTTTTTGTACTGAATTTGCTATGTTGTTTTATATAAGCTACTATTGAAATGTATCGTTAGCATATACTACATGGTAGAAAATAGTAGCTAAAAATTCAAAACTGGTGATGGAAAAAAATCCATAAAATTAAAATTAAATGTTTTTCTAGTCAGTGCATATTAGTTCTTACGGCTATTAGGCCCTTTGTATGAATCGACATTGAAATTTATAGTATTTTTTTGTTTCAGGAAAGTATCTAAGGCAGAAGAGAATTGACTTCCAGCTTCCCTATGACATCCTTTGGCAGTGGAAACATAATCAGGTACAATGAGCCTGTCTTACCAGGTTTCATTCTTAAATAGTAAGGGGGAGGAGGGTACAAGTCTTTGTCTCTGCCTCCTTGTTGTGATCTCATTTTAGGAGGTATAGAGAAGTGTCCCTGTGAAGGTTAGAGACTTTTAAAAAATGAATTTGCATCCATATTTAATGTGACCTATTTGCCTTTACTCATACTTCAAAATAGTAGTATGTTCCTACTTCCCTAGGCAACCTTCTGTTATTATTCTGGACTTTTATTTTGGTAGCAAAGATTCTGTTCTGTAAGAATCCTGTTTGATGCAGGTCTCCAGAGAATTTAGATGTACTGCCAGCAGCACTAAGAAATTTCAGGCTTTATTTTTGTTGGCTCCTTCCCATCAGTTTGGAATTTATTTTTCACATACAAAAAGAATTCTTCTACCAAAGGAAACAGGGAAAATGTTTAACACTCTTGTACTTTTAAAAGATCTTTAAATATATTAGGAACTAAAAATAGGAAGGTGCTATTTTTCTCTTCCCTAATTGAAAAGTTTCCCCCAGTAATTTTTGTATTAAGCTATAGCCCCCAGACCCCATACTGAGAACAACCATTGGGAAGTAAAAATGGTCATGCAATGAGGTAAGTAAACTCCTGAGTTTTGCCAGAATTCCATCAAAGTTTAATTTTGGAAAGTCAAAACAATGGACATTTTCTTCTGCATTCTGTTCTTTGGTGACCTTTCTTTAATTCTGAGAGGATCAGTATCTTAGATATTTGTCTCAAAGAATTCATAACAGTAGAGGAGACAGTGCTTTGACTGTGCCCACTGAAAAATGATGGTGGGATTATTCTTACACATTAATGCACTCCAGCTTAAACCAAGTTGCTATTTTTTTATACTATCATCTATGGTAAAACACTGGCCGACTGGCTACCTCTCTTCTTTTTTTTTTAAAGATTTTTATTGGGGAATTGGGGGATGGGAGCAGACAAGTTGCTGTCCTTTTGTTCTTCAGTCTAGTTGTGGAGGACGTCGCTTCACTGGCCCAAGTTGGCACTATCATTGCGCTCTTCCCGGGCGAGGCAGATCAGTCGCAGGCTTCTAGACGGCCGCTCACTGCAGCTGCTGGCCGCTCACGCTGGCTGCTGGCTACACACAGTAGCCCATGGCAACCCACTGCCACAGGGGCTGCAGCCTACGCCGTCGCCGGTGACTCACGGCAGCCCAGCTCCAGGTTGAGCTGTTGTTCAGCATCTTAGCTGTAGAGGGCAGTGTCACTGGCCCTCATATGTGGGATCCGAACCGGGGCCCTCTGGCGTCCCAAACCAGCTCTTAACCATCACGCCACTCGGCCGGCCCTGGCTACCTCTCTTCTAATACGTTCTTTTTTTTTTTCCTAATGTGTTCTTGATTACAGCGTGAGAGTTCCATTTTCCTGCCTGTCCTGTCTTCTTTATTCACTAAATTAATTGCCTTAATTAAAATGTGGAATGTATTTTCCTACAATACCCACCCTGAAAAAGCCAGGGTACTCATCTTTTTAATTTCATCTACCTATCTAAACCATCTAAAAAGCGCTCAGCAAGGTTTCCCCTTTTTTCAGAGGGAAATGGAATCTTAATTTATCCAACTTAATTTATCGAGCTTTAATCTGCAGTGTGATTTTCATTTAAGTCTATCCAGCAACATGCTGAAGAAACATATAATTCAAAATACATTTTCTTTAAACTATTTTATTTTTACATATCTTCTGTGAGTCTAGTTCTCTCTTACTCTGATTTAGTAAGTCACCTTTTATTTCAGGGTAAAAAGTGATCACACCAAGAGTTTCTCTCAAATGTATCCAGCCCAGAAAATCTTGTAAATATTTCCATATGGGCAGAGCACATGGATAACTTCCTGTATTTTTAGTGATTAATGCTGCTGTCTGGCATTTGAAGTTAAATGCTGTATCAAGATTTTTCTTTTTTTTTTCTTCCAGCTATACAAAAAGCCAGATGTCCCCCTATATAAAAAAATCCGTTCAAGTGAGTAACTTGGGAGCTATTTTTTCTGCCTCCATACCTCAGTGTTCTTCTTATCCTTTGTTTTCATAAATTATTCTTTGCTCTCTTCTCTCAAGATGTTTACGTTGATGTCAAACCGCTTTCTGGTTACGAGGCTACCACCTGTAACTGTAAGAAGCCAGATGATGACACCGGGAAGGGCTGTGTGGACGACTGCCTCAATCGGTACTGTGCTAAACTGACTCCTCTAAAAGCGTAGGCTTTGCAATATGTAAGACACTTCATTTGGAGGGAAACATAGCCTCTTTGACTTTTCCTCAAGAAGCTGCACAAAGATATATAAAACATAAGCATTGGGCTGTTTTAGTTTGCTCAGGCTGCTATAACAAAATACCATAGACTGAGCAGTTTAAACAACAGAAATTTATTTCTCACAGTTCAGGAGGCTGTGAGGTCCAAGGTCAAGATGCCAATAGGTTCAGTGTCTGTTGCAAACCCACTTTCTGGCTTACAGACAGCTGCCTTCTCCCTGTGAGCTCACGTGGCCTTTCCTCGGTGCATGCTTGTGGGAAGAGAGAGAGAGCGAGAGCCCTGTCTTCCTCTTCTCACAAGGGCACTAACCCCTCGTGAGGTCCCCACTCACGTGCCTGGAAAGAATCCTGTCCACCTCCCACCAAAGGCCCTGCTTCCAGATACCATCACGCTGGGGGCTAGGGCTTCAACTACTAATTTTAAGGGGACTAACATTCATACCATACATGGGATGAATAGAGTAACAGAAAAAGAATGAGATTTAGAGTCTTATGTACCCAAGTTTCAATCCTCTTACTATTTATGATACCTGAGGAAAGTTATTTAACCCCTCTTATAAAAATAATACCTTTTCTATGGAGGTTTGTGAGGATTGTATGAGACAGTGTTCATAAAGTGTTAAGCACAGTTCTAGAAACATTCATAGGTCTCAACATATAGCCATGAGAGAGTAAAGTAGGATGACGGCAGTGCTAGAGAAGAAGGACATGATACATTTGAGGGAAAACCAGGTTAATAAACCATTAGCATATGCAGATACACATGATTGAGTCAGTGATGTCAGTAAGAGGTGATAATGCTATTGTCAGAGATAGAAAGTGTGCAGTCTGACTGGTTTGGAGATAAAAATTATGATTTTCATTTGGGACCATTGATATTAAAATGACAATGGGATTTCAAAATGGAAATGTCTGATAGAGACAAAGAAGTACAGATAGTTTGCTGGTTTCAGTAACATAAGCAAATTTACTGCAAAGAAGACCCAGTGAAATGCACACCAATAATTCCTGTTCTGTATAGTTTTTCTGGCCCAAGACAGCTGCTTCCCTGGCCTCTAGTCACCTGTCCTGATGGCTGAAGGACTCAGTGTTTCAGTACCTCCTGCTTCACCATGCTGGTTGGGAAATTCTACCTTATCTACCTATATCACTGTAAATGTCTTGTCATTGTACGAGGTGTGATCAAACAATATGGTGTATGTTTAAATAAAAAAATTAATTACAGAAGACACACTGCCATTAATTCCTCTCAAAATACTCCCCCTTGCTTCGAATACACTTATCCCATCGTTCTTGCCACTTTCTGAGGCAGTTCTGGAAGTCCTCTTTCATGAGTGTCTTTAGTTGCGCTGTCGTGGCTGCCTCAATGTCCTGAATCGTTGTGCTTTGGGGAAGAGCCAGAAGTCAACACGGTGCCAGATCCCATGAATAAAGTGGATGAGGACACACTGTAAGGTTTCTATTGGACAGAAATTGCCGTACCAGAAGTGGTGTGTGACATGGAGCGTTGTCATGATGGAGGATGATTGACGGCACACTTTAAAACACACCTTTTCTCAACCATAGCTCACACCCGACTGACTGCACTGAACAAGTTGAAACTTGTCTCACATTGTTACTAAGGTTCTGCCTGCCACTTTCTGTATTGAAGGTCCCTGCCTTTCTGTTGGATGGCACTCGGCAGCAGCATTCACCGTATTTTGTGATCATGACAGAAAGGCTCCGTGTGACACGTGGCTCCTGGTACGGCAGTTTTTGTCCAATAAAAACATTATGGTGTACCCTCATCTGCTTTATTCACCAGATCTGGCACCATGCGACTTCTGGCTCTTCCCCAAAGTCAAAATGACCATGAAAGGTAAACATTTTGAATCGATTCAGGACATCGAGGCAGCCACGACAATGCAACTAAAGACACTCACTGAAGAGGATTTCCAGAACTGCTTCAGAAAGTGGCAAGAACGATGGGATAAATGTGTTCGAAGCAAGGGGGAATATTTTGAGGGGGATTAATGGCAATGTGTCTTTTACTGTAAAAATTTTTTTAAATTTAAACATTCACCGTATGTTTTGATCACACTTCATACATACATACAGTTTTACAGCAGTCACAGCTTGTGGTATAGATAGGTCTGTGTTTTGTGCACCGATTTTTGCACTCACAGTTATTTTATATGTATACTTTTATGTATCAGTATGATCCACAAGTTCATCAGTTTTAGGAGCTGTCTGTTTTCTTCCCTGTTGTTGATATGCCATAGTTTGCCATCTCCTGTTGTTGGTCATTCAAGTTATTTCCAGTGTTTTGCTGTTAAAAATGGTGCTACTATGAAGCTCTTTGTGTAGGCCTGTATTTTTAACCCTTGGAGTATGTTCTCAGAAGATTTACCTGTACAGACTATATGAATATTTATATATACTATCCAGTCGCTCTCATAAAATATTGGTATTTTGGGTGTCACCACCAATATATAAATATATTTATCTCCCATAGTTCCAGTTCCTTATCTATTCACATTTAACTGGATTTTTGGTGCTTTAGTATTTGATTGGTTTAATTTTGGGGCGTATTACATGTCCTTAAAGTTGTTTAAATGTACATTTCCGTAGATGCTAACACTACTGTGTATTTTTATATACTATTTTATTGTCTGTGAAATTACCATAATACAGCTGCTGCCTCATTACTTAGTTCCTCTCTTTCTCACAATAGTCCAATGAGGTAGGTGATAGTTCACATTTTGTAGATGAAGGAACCTAGCATTTAGACAGTAAATTGCTCCTAGTACACAACACTTAAGGGACAGAGACAGAATTTGAACACACATTTGTTTGATTCAAAAGCCATGTTCTTTCCCCTCTACCACAATGCTTATTATGTAAGTAGTCTTTTAATCACTTAAAAATTGAAATTTGGGTATTTACCTTTATATAATTACATTGGTTGGCTTATATCTTTTGTTAGTATGGGTGTCAACATTTATCCTTTCCATTCTGTTGCCTTTCTTCAACAAATAAACGTATCCCTAAATAAGAAGAAACACTTAGATACGATGCTGCCAGCTTTGTATCATGAGAATATTATTACTGTGAGTCATGCATCTAATGAACGATGTGATAAATACCTAAGAAAAATTAAAATCCGCTATTCAGTGGGTGCATCCTTATGTATTTAAGAGTAAGCCACATACAGATTCTGCCAACTGGAAGTACGTAACAGGTAGGGCAGCTTTGTCTTTCCCGTTTCTGTCATCAAGATTCTGTAAATATTTGGGGGTCAAAAGTGAAAGGATCCTCAGGACCCCTCACACTTCTGTGGAAGACGCATATGTAGGTTACTCTCACTTGCAAGTAGCCCAAGGAAAACTTGATTTGGGGCTAGTTTTTAAAACAAGTAATGGGTTTTTACAATTACTTCAGATAAACTTTAAAAAGTTGTCCTCCTCTCTGCCATACACTTTGTAGGAATCACCAATATTGTTTATACATTCTACACGTCTTCCCTGGAGGGCTCTTATTCTGTACACCATATCAAACCCTACTGCTCCAGAACTTGTCTTATTCCCAAGAGCAAAGCCTTGTAATCCGTTTCAAGCTGCTTTCTAACCCGGTCCCCATTTGCTCACAGCCTGTATGGAGCCCACTTCGTCAGCCCTCCCCAAGGACAGACGTGGTGTGTAACAACACTGAATACTTAGGGAGAGAAAGGCGAAAGCACATTCATTGCCAGTGAGACTTAGAACGCCACCAGCCTTGAGTACCCTCTGAAGTCACAGCCCCTAAACTAAGCTTCGGCTCCGTCTGACTCCTGTGACCATCTGTGCTCATTTGTTGAGTCAGTTTACTTCCACTTGCCCACAGTGAGACTCTAGAAGCCCTTCCCCTCCAGAAGAGCCCTCAGATTCTCAGTCCCAAAATGTAGGGGTAATCTCTCCTCAGCCTGCAAGGCCGCCTCCTTCCTGACCTGGCACGATTCACAGTGGGAGTATTCATTTTGTTCACGAAAAACTCCTCACCGCTCTTGGAATGCTCTGCCCTCCACAGCTGGCTAAGTCAATCACACTAGTACATTTCCCAGTGGTTATTTAACCTTAAATCTCCCCATGTGAGGCAAAGAGCCTTCCAGTCTAGATCTATCTATATTTAGAGGGGGAAAAATTCTCTAGCTGTTAACAGCATTTTCTGGCTAAAGATAATGGCAGTTTACATTGCTACATCAGAGACTTCACATCTTAGTTTGCAGCAGCTACTTTCAGATTGTGGTAAATTTACAGTTTTTCAGGCACAGTGAATAGAAACGTATTTTCCTTTTTATATAATTAAATGGCTTACCTTGGGTATTTATAAAAACAAATGGAATATATTTCAATGCCTTTAACTCTACAATCCACAAATTTTTAGCAACCTCTAAATGATGGTTCTCCAGCAGGAATTTTTAAAAATTGGAGTCTCTTTCATCTCAGCACTCTGTTATATTTATATTTTAGTTCTTTTATCCACTTAAAGTGTATTGTTGTGTGTGTTATGATGTATGATGAAAATACAGGTGGGGTATTATGAACAGGGGCTTACAACGGAAAAACGAAAATGAATGAGCCTTCCAAAGAAAAGACGAACAAAGAGTAGGAAGATGGACAGGTGTAAAATTTTAAAAAGGCTTCCTGTATTTAAAATAAAAAGAAAAAAGGCAGGAATTGTTATTTGGAGAGGTGAGGGATCCATTAGCATAAAAGATCAAAAAAGCCCACAAAAAGAGGGTATTTTTAGGAGGGGTGCTCAATAGCATTCTTGCAGTAAAGAAGTTAGCAAGAGAAAGAATAAGGTAGACGTAGTACGTTTGACAGTAAGGCAGTGTCTTCACCAGTAGGGCTGACTGTCTTAAGTTGAAGAAAAGTTCAGTGAATGTTTTTTCTCGGCTTGCTCTCGTTTATGTGATTTGACATAATCTGTGTACTATTTGCCCTTTAGGTAAGGATCATATTATTTTGAAGAATAAATCAAATGACTCAAAGTACTTTAAATTGTACAGTGTTAAATACTTTTTTTAATAAGATTTGTAAGTTATGTTTATAAACATAATGTGATATTTTGATCTACCATTATATTCTTGAGCCTCCCTTGTTTTAATCGCGCTAAATATCCTTACTGGGATTCCAAACCACATAACAAAATGAAATGGCTCCTATTAAAGACCTACAAGTTTAAAAAAGAAAGCAATGAGAAGACATAACATGACAACTTTCATCTACTGTGTTCAGAATTTTTTAATTGTTTATTCACTAGAGATTATAGGTTCACCTAGTGATATAGACTGCAAATGTTATTTCCAATATGGAAATGTCATTTATACTAATAAAATATGAAATTCCTATAAAACAACAACAGTGTGAACATACCTGTACATTTAAAAAAGGTTATCAGGATAAATTTTATGTATATTTTACCACAATTAAAAAAAAATCTGGCCACGAGCTACTTTAAAACATGAGTGCAATATAATCGTCAAATCATTAATTCCTCTGTGGCTTGCAGTTCATTTATTCTTAGCACAGAGCTAAAGGGGAGGGTTTTTAACCCAGGGTGCTGAGTAGACAGTTAGCTTAATAATTTCCGAGAAGCATTCAGTGTTTGCAGCTTGACTTAGAAGTTTTAAGTATTATTTGTTTTTGAAGTTACATGTTATTACCTTGTTAACCAGGCTAACTGTTAAAATAATTTCATGTGTTCATTGTTAAAATCCCTACAAGTCATTAAATGGGTTCGTGAAGGCATATATAAAGTTAATTGACATACAATTATTCCTTTTCTTTCTAGAATGATCTTTGCTGAGTGTTCCCCCAACACTTGCCCCTGCGGTGAGCAGTGCTGTAACCAGAGAATACAGAGGCATGAGTGGGTGCAGTGTCTAGAACGATTTCGAGCTGAGGAAAAAGGTTGGGGAATCAGAACCAAAGAACCCCTAAAAGCTGGGCAGTTCATCATTGAATACCTAGGGGAGGTTGTCAGCGAACAGGAGTTCAGGTACAGTATTAAATGATGATACCCAGTAAAGTGACAAAGGGACCAGATTAGAATGGAAAAGAGAAAATTTGAAATTTGCTTTCAGCTTAACCAGTATGTGGCTTTCAATCATGTGTCTCCTCAGGAACAGGATGATCGAGCAGTATCATAATCACAGTGATCACTATTGTCTGAACCTGGACAGTGGGATGGTGATTGACAGTTACCGCATGGGGAATGAGGCTCGATTCATCAACCACAGCTGTGACCCAAATTGTGAGATGCAGAAATGGTAAGGAAGCAGGGAAAGGTGAAGCCAAGAATCCAGCAGAGCAGAGCTCAGGGCACCCAGAGATGGATCTCTCCGCAGTGTCACTCAGCTGCCACCAAGCAGCGCAGGCAGTTCCCCGTTTACCAGGCCCTCCAGGCAGAAAGGAAGCTTCTGATGCTTCTTCACTTCAGCCTAACTGCTCCCCTCAGGAAATTACCATTACGTGTATGTATATAGAGAACAGTGATAATCCCTGGTCTTGACTGGCTGCTTAGTATGTCCCAGGCACTGTGTTACATGGCCCTTCTCCTGTCAGTTCTTTCAGCATATTTATTACATGCCCACTGGATTTGTCACAATGAGAAATAACAAGTGAAATAGATTAGAATGCAATTGAGAAAGAAAAAAATACATCTGAAAAACAGTTCAGAAAAGAGACTGGGATAGGAGAGAATTCTGGGAAGATGGTGGCATAGGAAGGACCAGAAATCTGCCTCCCCTTAGACAACAGCACAGGCACAATCTGCCTGGTAGAACGATTTTGGAATTCTGGATCCTTCAACTTCCAGGGGAAGGCTTAGATGATAAATGGCAGTTTGTTTCAGTCAGTTTGAGCTCTTAGAACAGTAGCAGCTACCCATCCTCCACCCCAAGCCACATGGCAGGCAGCTGTACAAGTGTTCCTGGAACAGCTTGCACACGGTTTACAGAAACCAGGGTGGGTAAAAGGACCCTGTCCTTCAAAAGCTGGGATCTGTGTTCTGATTGTCAGTTGCTGCTTCTGATCACAGAGGTGCAAAAGAGGCAGGCAGCTGTTGTTGTACTTCCCACCATTGTTGCAAGCTCCTCTCCCTCCAGCTGAAGTAACTTCCAGGAGATTTAAAGGGCTAGTGACCTCTTTTTCCCCCTTCATTTTTCGCTTTTCCCCTTTCGGGAGCCAGGCATTAAAGATAGGGGAAAATTCATTGTGACTGTGAATATCAAAGGAAAGGCTCAGAATAGACATAAGAAGACATTGGCACAGAGATAGCCTACAACCACCAAAAGAAAAAGAAAAACAAAGAATAGCAAACCCTAGGGGAGGGGGAGAATCTGATTTCCAGAGTTATCACATTATTAAATTCAAGTGTTCAGTGTTCAACTTAAAATCATAACAAATACAAAGAAACAGCAAAGAATGGCCCATTCAAAGGAAAAAAATAATTCAGCAGACTCTGTCCCTAATAGAGACTCAATGGCAGCTATATTAGACAAAGACTGTAAAACAGCTGCCCTGAAGTTGCTCAAAGAGCTAAAGGAAGATGTGGAGAAAATCATGAAAACAATCTGTGAACAAAATGGAGATATCAATAAAGAGATAGAAAGCCCTAAAAGAAACCAAAAAGAAATTCTGGAGCTGAAAGGTACAGTAATTGAAATGAAAATTTCACTACAGGGATTCAAAGGAAGATTTGAGTGGAGAAAAGAAAGAATCAGTGAATTTGATGATAGGAAAATGGAAATTATCAAGCCTGAGGAACAGAAAGGAAAGAGATGGAAGAAAAGAAAACAAACAGACCCTAAGGGACCTCTGTGATACCATCAGGAGGACCAATATATCCACTAGTGTCTCAGAAGGAGAACAGAGAGAAAGAAACTGAATATTTGAAGACACAGTGGTTGAAAACTTGCCAGATTTGATGAGACGTGAATATAAACATGAAAGAAGCTCACTGAAGTGCAAGTAAGATGAACTCAAAAGAGACAAACACCAAGACTCATTATAATCAAACTTCAAAAACAAAGACAGCAAAAGACAATAGCTGTAGACGTACACAAAAGGAAATTAAGAAGGAATTTAAATGTTTCACTACAAAAAATCAACTGTTTACTATAAAAAACAGGACTGCAGGCAATGAAGGACCAAAAAGCTCTAGGGCCTATAGAAAACAAATAGCAATGACAAAAGGAATTCCCTCCTCAGTAATTAAAGGTAAATGGACTAAACTTTCCAGTCATAAAACAGAATGGAATTCAGCATTCATGATAAAAATTTTCAACAAATTAAGTATAAGGGGATATACCACAACATAATAAAGACCATGCACAACAAGCCCACAGCTAACATCATACCCAATGGTTTAACACTGAAAGCTTTTCCTGTAAGATCAGGAACAAGATAAAGGTGCCCACTCTTGCCATGTTTATTTAGCACAGTACTGAAAGTCCTAGCCAGAGCAATTAGGCAAGAAAAAGAACTAAAAGACATCGAAATTGGAAAGGAAGAAGTAAAACCATCTCCACTTGCAGATGATATGACACTATATATGGAGAAAACCCCAAGACTCCACCAAAAAAACTGTTAGAACTAATAAATTCAGTAAAGTTGCAGGATACAACATCAAAATATAAAAATCAGTTGCATTTCTATACACTGATGAACTATCAGAAAGAGAAATTAAGAAAGCAGTCCCATTTGCAATAGCATCAAAAAGAATAAAATACCTAGGAGTAAATTTAACCAAAATGGTACAAGACCTGTACAATAAAGACTACAAGAAGGGCCAGCCGAGTGGCTCAGTTAGTTAAGAGCTCACTCAAGAGTGCAAGCTCTAAGCAACAGGGTCGCCGGTTCAATTCCCGGCCCGAGCTGAGCTGCTGCTGAGCTGCCAACAGGTAGCAGGATGGCTCAGCGAAAACAAAAGACTACAAGACATTCATGAAAGAATTCAAAGAAGGCACAATAAATGAAAAGATACTCTGTGCTCATTGATTGGAATAATTAATATTATTAAAATATTCATATTACCCAAAGCAACCTACAAATTCAGTGCAATAAAAATAAAAATTCCTGTGCCAGCCAAGTGGCTCAGTTGGTTAAGAGCTCACTCAAGAGTGCAAGCTCTGAGCAACAGGATCGCTGGTTCAACTCCCAGCCTGAGCTGAGCTGCCGCTGAGCTGCCAACAGGTAACAGGATGGCTCAGCTAAAAAATAAATTAAAATTCCAGCGACATTTTTCACAGAAACAAAACAATCCTAAAATTGAATGGAACCACGAAAGACCCAGAATAGCCAAAGCAATCTTGAGGGGGGGGGAAAAAACAAAGCTACAGGTATCACGTGTCCTGATTTGAAACTATATTACAAAGCTATAGTAATCAAAACAGTATAATATTGGCACAACAGTAGAACATATAAATGGCATCCAAATTGGAAGAGAAGGTGTAAATTATCTGTTTGCATATGATATGATCTTATATGTGGAAAATACTAAAGACTACACCAAGAAGCTGTTAGATTTCATAAATCCAGCAAAGTAGCAGGATACAGTCAATGCAAAAGTCATTTGTATTTCTGTACACAAACAAACAATCTGAAAGGGGCAATTACAAAAACTATCCCATTTACAATAGCACCAAAAGGAATAAAATACTTAGGAATTAACCAGTGAGATGAAAGAATTGTACAACAAAAACTACAAAACATTTCTGAAAGAAATTAAAGAAGCATAAATAAATGTAAACATCTCATGTCCATGGATTGGAAGACAATGTTGTTAAAATGTCAGTATTACCCAAGTGAGCCACACATTTTATGCAATCCCTATCAAAATCTCAATGGCTTTTTTTTTTTTTAAGTAGAGAAACCTATTCTAAAATTTATATGGCATTTCAAGGGACTCCAAATAGCCAAAACAGCCCTGAAAAAGAACAAAACTAGAGGACTCACACTTCCTAATTTAAAAACTTAACTACAAAAAACAAGAACACTTAACTACAAAGCTACAGTCATCAAAACTGTGGTACAGGCAAAAACATGGATATAAATGCATGGACTAGAACGGAGAGCCTTGAAATACACCCTCACATATTCAGTCAAATGATTTTCCACAAGAGTGCCAAGACCATTCAGTGGAGAATGGATAGTTTTTTCAAAAAATGGCACTGGAAAAACTGGATAGCCACATGCAAAAGAATGAAGCTGGACCCTTACTTAATTAATACCACATATCAAAATTGACTCAAATAGACCAAGGACCTAACTGTAAGACTTAAAACACTGAAACTCATAGAAGAAAACAGGATAAAAGCTTCATGACTTTGGACATGTCAATGATTTCTTGGATATGACACCAAAGTCACAGGTAACCAAAGAAAAAGGGACAAATTGGACTTCATAAAAATTTTTATGTTTTGTACATCAAAAGACACTATCCACAGAGTGAAAAGGCAACCCACATAATGGGAGAAAATATTTTGCAAATCATTGTCTCATAAGGTATTCATATCCAGAATATATAGAGAGCCCCTTAAAATTCAATAAAACACTCAGATTTAAAAATGGGTAAAGAACTTGGATAGACATTTCTCTAAAGAAAATATACAGATGGCCAATAAGCACATAAAAAGATGCTCAATATCACTAATCATTAAGGAAATGCAAATCAAAACCACAGTGAGATATCACCTCACTCCCATTAAAATGGTTACTGTCAGAATAACAGAAAACAAGTATTGACAAAAATGTGGAGCAATTGAAACGCTTGTGCACTGTTGGTGGGAATGCAAACGGTGCAGCTACTATGGAAAACAGGATGAGTGCTCTTTAAAAATTAAATGACCAGCATTTCCCTTGCTGGGTATAGATCCGGGACTGGAAGCAGGGTCTTGAAGAGAGATCTGCACCTTTGTGTTCACAGCAGCACAATTCACACCAGCTGAAATATGGAAGCAACCCGCATCCATCAGTGGATGATGGATAAGCAAAATGTGGTCTGTGTACACCACACAGCTGACAAGGTACTATATCCAGATACATAGAGAACCCCTAAACCGCAACATAAAAAAATTATTGTTATTATTCAGCCTTAAAAAGGAAGGAAATTTTGCAATATGCTACAACATGGATGGACTTTGACATTATGCTCAGTGAAATGAGCCAGATACAAGAGAACAAATACTGTATGATTCCTCTTATACAAGGTGCTTAGAGTAAGCAAAATCATGGACACAGATAGCAGAATGATGGTTGTCGGGCTGCGGGGAGGGGAAATAGGGAGTCAGTGTTTAACGGGTGCAGAGTTTCAGTTCTATAAGATGAAGAAGGATATGGGATGGGTGATGGGACGGCTGCACAGCAGAGGGCTGTACTTAGTGCCACTGAACGGGGCACTTTAAAATGGTTAAGATGTAAACCCTGTGTTATGTGTGTTTCAACACAATAAACAAAGACCATAGGATAGTATGAGCAACTTTCTATTTTTTGTAAAATTTAGGTATTATTCCCATAAGATCTTAAGTGTAAATTTCCATCCATTTTTACAAACGTATACACCTCGTCCCTTACCAAAATGTAGAACATTTCCACCATTTCAGAAAGTTCCTTTGTGCCTCTTCACAACCTCCCCCATCGAAGGCAAGTAGTGATGGATTTCTGTCACCACAGACGAAGAACTTCACACACTCTTCTGTGCCTGGCTTCTTTCACTGCACGTAATATTTTTGCTATTTATCCATGTTGTTGAGTACATTAGTGATGTGTCAATTTTTATCATGGATTAATTTTTTATATGAATTCACCAGTTTGGTTATGCATTTTCCTGAACAACTTTTTTATATTTGAAAAGTTGAATGAACTGAACAAATTCCTTGAAAACACAACTTACCAAAAACAACACAAGAGGAGATAGAACATCTGAATATCTACCAAAAACAGTGAATCTATAATTAAAACTTGATGACAAAAGAAACTTCAGGCTCAGATGTCTCCACTGGTAATTCTTCCACATACTTAAAGAAGAAATAATGTTTATACTACCAACCTCATATAAACGCTTCCATTTTATAAGGCTAACATACCCTTTATCTAAAACCTAACAAGAGTAATAAAAAAAAAAAAAAGAAATACAGGCCAGTGTCTCCCATGAACACGGACACAAAAATCCTAAGTAAAATATCAGCAAATGAAATCTAGCAATATATAAAAAGGTTCATATGTCATGACCATGTGGGGTTTATTCCAGGAATGAAAGGTTGGTTGGTTTAACATTTAAAAATCAATGTAATTTAGGGGCCAGCCGAGTGGCGCGTTGGTTAAGAGCTGGCTTGGGACGCCAGCTCTGAGCAGCAGGGCCCCAGTTCGGATCCCACATCAGAGACAGTGACACTGCCCTCTACAGCTCGACCTGGAGCTGGGCTGCCATGAGTCGCTGGCTGCAACCCCTGCTGCAGTGGGCTGCCATAAGCTACCGTGTGTGGCCGGCAGCCAGCGTGAGCAGCCGGTAGCCGGTAAGAGCCGCAGTGAGCAGCTGTCCAGAGGCCGGCGACTCATCTGCCTCACCCGGGAAGAGCACAATGATAACACCAACATGGGCCAGTGAAGCGATGTCCTTCACAACTAGACTGAAGAACAAAAGGACAGCAACTTGTCTATTCCCCGATTCCCCCATAAAGTCTTTTTTAAAAATCAATGTAATTTATACTACGTTAGCAGAATAAAGTAAAATTTAAAATTCAGTACTATTTACAATAGCTTCATAAAACATTAGTCACCTAGGAATAGATTTAATGAAAGTGTATAGGACCTCCATACTGAAAAACACCAAACATTATGCAAAAAGACAACCTAAATTAATGGAGAAATATGCCATGTTTATGGGTTAAAAATCTCAATATTTTTAATATTTTTGAGCTCTTACTAAGTTGAACTATAAATCCAGTCAAGATCCAATTTTTATGGAAATGGACAAGTTGACTGTAAAACAGAATTGCAAAGGAACTACAAAATGCAAAATAATCTTGAAGAAAAACAAAATTTAAGACCTTTACCAAATTTCAGGACTTATGATAGAGGTACACTAATTAAAACAGTAGGTATTTCCTTGGGATAGGTTAATAGATAAGTGCAATAGAATAGAGGCAAAAACTCACAAATGTATTGTCAACTGATTTATGACAGGTTCTGCTGCAGATCAGTGAGGAAAGTGGCGTTTTTTGTTTTGTTTTAAAGATTTTATTGGGGAATTGGGGGAGGGGAACAGCGTTGGGGAATCAGGGAATGGAAACAGACAAGTTGCTATCCTTTTGTTCTTCAGTCTATTTGTGGAGGACGTCGTTTCACTGGCCCATATCATTGTGCTCTTCCCGGGTGAGGCAGTCACTCGCTGGCCATTGGCAGCGGCTCATGGCAGCTCACGAAAGCTCACACCTGCTGCCAGCCAGCCCCACTTCAGCCTACGCCGTCACCGGCAACTCACGGCTTCCCAGCTCCAGGCCGAGCTGCTGTTCACTATCTTAGCTGTAGAGGGCGCAGCATCACTGAGCCTTATGTGGGATCCGAACCAGGGTCCTGCTGCTCAGAGCTGGTGTCCCAAGCCAACTCAACCAACGCGCCACTCAGCTGGCCCCAGAGTGGAATTTTAATAAACAATGCTGAGTCAGTTGGCATCTCTCTCAGTGCATACACAAAAGTTCATTGAAGATGAACCTAGACCTAAATATCACAGTTGGGACAATCAAGTTTCTAGATGGAAACATGGGAAAATATTTTCATATACTTGGGATCGGTAACAATATCTTAAATGGGACATAAATCGTACTGACTGTAAAAGAATTAATAAAGTTAACAATTTCTGTTGATCAAAAGATAATATTAAGAGAGAACAGCAAGCCCTTCACTGGGGAGAAGATATTTGCCGTGTGTTTATATGACAAAGGGCTTTCTTAAAATCCAGAATCTACAGATCAATAAGAAAAGACAAACCAATTTTTTAAATAGATAAAAGTTTAGGCACATCAAAAGAATATAAAAGTACAATAAAAAAGTACATATAAACATGAATGCTCTTAGATGATAATGGAAGTGTAAATTGGGATAACCACTTTCAAAAAATGTTTACCTACCAAAGCTAAACAAATCCACTAACCCAGCAACCCCACTCCTAAGTATATCCCCAATAGAAATGAGTACTTATGTTCAAAAGACGTGCAAGAATGTCTGTAGAAAAAAAATTTTAAATAATAGCTAGAAACCAAATGTTTATCAACAGTAGAACAGATGTATAAGGTGTGCTATATTCCTATAATGGAATACTACACAGCAATGTCAAGCTACATTGCAGCTACAGTGTAATGCTGAGTGAAAGAAGTTAGGCACATAATTGTACACAATATAGCATATTCTGTATGTTTCCATTTGTTTGAAGTTCAAAACAGGCCAAGCTAACCTGTGGTGATAGAGGTCAGAATAGTGCAGTCCTTTGTGGGGAGGGGACCAATTGGGAGAGAGGAGCTTTCTGGGAGGTTACAGAGATGTATAGATATATTATATAAAATTTGGCCAGCTATACATTTAAGATTTGTGTATTCAACTCCATGTAAGTTACACCCCTCAAAAAATTTTTTCATACAATACTGTATATAATCAAATTTTAAATGTTGTGATGCAGACCAGGGGTTAGCAAACTTCGGGGTGTAGCTGTGTGCCAATAAAAATTTACAAAGACTTTGGGGAAGATTGTCACATTTGCCAATCGCTGGTATAGACTAAAAATGCTTTGTGAATTTAGCAGCAAAAAGAATACCCAAAAGTGAAGATTAGAGAAATTTACATTAGATAGGGAAATATCCAAGCTAAACCTGGATGTGTTCCACATGGGCAGAGGCAGAAAGGAAGAGAAGAGAAGTTTGGGGATCAAGCAGCCTAGGTTTTAACCCCCTGACTTTGAATGCAACTGCTGTGTGACTGTGAACAAAACCTCTAAGCCACACCTAACCTCATATATACAATAGGAATCACAGCACCTACCTCATAGGGTTGTTCTGAAGCTAAAGGACGACCTGTTAGCAGTGCGGCGTAATGGCTACGCCTTTGGAGCCTGACTGCCTCGATTCTAAATGCTTCCTGCAGCTGTTGACTGTGGGCAAGTACTGACTGACCCTCTGGTGCCTTGACGTCCTCACTTAGAAAAGGGGTTCTGAGACTACCTGATAATAGTGCCTTCAGTTGTTGGGTGGAGTAAATAAGGCAGTACAACAAAATGCTCTAATACGACAAGCACTCAATAAATGTCAGCTATAATTATATAAAGCATCTAGAACAGACATGATAGACCATTAATAACTTAATATAAACTAGAACAAAAGAGACACTCATGTACAGGTGAGAAAGGTGGAGATCTGTAGGAACTAGAAGCTTTTTTTAGGTATGCGATAGGCAATAATTTTTATTTATTTATTAATAAGCAGACTAAAGCCATGTTGTAGGGGGACTGTGAATACCGAGCAGGAAAAGTTAAGACCTGTTCTAATCAACAATAGAGCATGTTTTCCAGGAGACTGATTTAGGACTATTGGTCTGACGGTATGTCATAGACTGGATAGAACAGGAGACAGGTTAAAGGAGGAGAGATTGGCCGGCAAACTGAGTAACTGGAGATGGAAACAGGCAAATTTGGAATCAGTGTACCAGTGCTAGTAGTTTCTAGGCACGGTAGTAAGAATGTCTGCCTACCTCTATCTCTGCCTCGCTCTCTAGGTCTGTTAATGGCGTATACCGGATCGGACTGTACGCTCTGAAAGACATGCCAGCTGGTACCGAACTCACTTACGACTACAACTTTCATTCCTTTAATGTTGAAAAACAGGTAAGAATAACAACTCTATCAAGAGGGAGGTTGCTTTGTGACAGTGCTCTGTAGAACATGGACCTTCAGGGAACCCTGCTGATCTGTAGCCGCTGAGAAGCACATTGCAGAGAAGCTCTTCCTCCACAGAGCTGGGCCCAGCACTCTGGGAAGGGACTGCCCGGTCGGTTCTGAACGATTCTGCTGCAGCTTTCCCAATGTGTGATCTTACCTTCCCATTGCAGTGGAAGCCCATTTGTATTTATTTTACTCTCAATCATTTTTTTCCTCTGTGAAAATGCCTTGATTTAAACGTACTGTTGGGGGTGCAGATGCTCAGGCATGCTGTTTGACCTTGTGAATGAGACTACAGGCTAAAAGCAGTATTTCCTCTCTTTCCTTCAAAGCAACTATGTAAGTGTGGCTTTGAGAAATGCCGAGGGATCATTGGAGGCAAGAGCCAGCGCATGAACGGGCTCCCCAGCAGCAAGAGCAGCCAGGCTGTGGCCACACACAGGAAGTCCGGGCGGTCCAAGGAGAAGAGGAAGTCCAAGCACAAGCTGAAAAAAAGGGTGAATAGCCATCTCATGGCTTTTTCCTCAAATAGCCACTTAGGGCGGGTACTGAAATTAGGGGACTACCACGGGAGCGTCGTTAGAGTGGTTTTAATATTCTTCGAGGTGATCTCTGATTGATCTTTCTTTTCCTGCAATCTGATCCATCTGTGTTTCAGAGAGGCCACCTCTCCGAGGAACCCAGTGAGAACATCAGCACCCCAACAAGATTGACCCCCCAGTTACAAATGAAGCCGATGTCCAATCGGGAGAGGTAAAAAGGAGCTTGCCTTACTGAGCTCTTCATGTGATTTGCTTGTCAGTTTAAAAATTATTAAGGGCTGGCCGAGTGGCTCAGTTGGTTAAGAGCTCGCTCAAAAGTGTGAGCTCTGAGCAACAGGGTCCCCGGTTTGATTCACGGCCTGAGCTGAGCTGCCACTGAGCTGCCAACAGGTGGCAGGATGGCTCAGCTAATAAAAAAATTTTTTTTTAAAAAGAGTAAAAATTACTAAACATCTGCACAGTTGAGACATTTCTTTTGTGTGGGAGGTCTTTAAACAAGGACCCAGTGGGTCTGTAACTCAGAGGGGAGAAAAATTATGTCTCTACTTTCCCTAGTTTCTAGCTGAAATTTAGCATTTCCTTCAAATGTGACCTGTAGGCAAAAAAACAAACACAAAAAAACGCGCGCGCGCGTGTGTGTGTGTGTGTGTGTGTGTGTGTGTGTGTGTGTAGTATTTGCAGTTTCCATGACTTTGTCACCCATGTTCACGTTTTCATGTCATGTTATAGGCATTACAATGTCTCACAATATCACTTACATTCATCTCTACCTCAGAATTACTATGGTGGTAAAAGCCACAACTAGATGTTATGTAGTCAAAATTAATGTTTGTTTTTCTATATCACATTTTCAGGTTTTTTTAATATTCTGAAAATTGTATTTCAGTATGTTTAGTTGCCTTTTAATCCTATGTATTAAAATTTCTTAAAATTTTATATTATTTTTTAAATACTTTTAAAACATTGTTCAGAGAAAAGTTACATGGGCTTCCCCAGGCTGCCTGAGGACTCCGTGGCCAGAACAGGTTAAGAATCCAGTAGCTTCAAAGTTCATCCTTATGTATGACTTTACTATTAATATAATTTTAGCCCCTTGTATCCTATTTCACGTTGAGTGATAGAAATTTTAAACTTCAGTAAAACAGAAATAATTAAAGCCAATGGTTCTCTGCTTTAGCTGCATATTAGCCTAGGGAGCCTGAAAACTCCTGATGCCCACGCCACACCCCAGAGCCCTTAAACCAGAGCTCTCAGAGGTGGAGCCCAGGCAGCAGTGGTGGATAGAGCTCCCCAAGAGTTTCAGTGTGAGCCGAAGTCAGGCACTATGAAATTAGTCTAATCTCCATCTACGGAGGCCCATAGTTTGAGATTTATTCAAGGTCACAGCTTTTTATATGTGTGCTCAGGTGAAAAATTGTGGAATCATCCAGATTGTATAGGCTCGTACACATGGCTCCTTTAGGCTCATGGGTGTGGAGGGCCCGTACCTAATGAGGCTTGCCTGGTGCCCATCTGTCTCAAATGTCTTTGCTCCTGCCCACCAGGTCAGGCTCCTTGTCATAGCTGAACCTCAGCCTGTGCTTCATCTCAGCAACTTCCTCTAGGATTTGTACAAACACTCCATAAAGCTCTGCCTTCAAGTCAGGCCGCTTCATTTGCCATTTGTAAATAATATAGGGAAATGTTTTCTGTTGTGTGAAAAAAAAGAATCAAGATGTAAAACTGAGTAACGTTGCCCCATGTGTAATTCTCTTTATAAAAGCTGACTTCACTGAGTATTCATTTATAACATCTTAATAATGGCTTCCATAGAACAGACATGGAGTAAATGCTGATTGAATTCATGAATAAAAGAACACCTTTCCTCTTTCCCGGCAGGAACTTTGTATTAAAGCATCATGTGTTCTTGGTCCGAAACTGGGAGAAGATTCGGCAGAAACAGGAGGAAGTGAAGCACACCAGTGATAATATTCACTCGGCGTCATTATATACCCGCTGGAACGGCATCTGCCGAGATGATGGAAACATCAAGTCTGGTGAGGCCTGGGAAACGATCCTATTATTTCCGTAAGATGGTCTCCGAACTGGTGATTTTAGCTACTTTCAAACAATCTATTCAAAGATTCCTTTTAGTCTGGACCAAAAAAGTTAGGATCCAAACATAGAAGCATCAGTCAGCAGCAACCTGTCCCTCCCAGCCCTCCAGCTGCCTTGTTTCTACTTTAGGGAACAGGAGCAAACCCCCTCCCACCAGCCCCCCAAACATCACAGCCTGAAAGTCACTGGACATGACATCAGTAGTGGCTCCTCTGTCTGCTTTCCTGCCTGGACAGTAACTTGCAGATGGGGTGCATAGCAATGCCAGATGCAGGGGGAGGTGACACCAGTGTCGAGGAAAATAGAACAAATGGCAGGAACCCATGGGGAAGAAAAGCCACGTGGAGCCCCTGTTTTCCTGAAGCTGATTTCCACTTCCTCCTTGCAGACGTCTTCATGACCCAGTTCTCCGCCCTGCAGACAGCTCGGTCTGTTCGCACAAGACGGTTGGCAGCCGCAGAGGAGAACATTGAAGTGGCCCGGGCAGCCCGCCTCGCCCAGGTCTTCAAAGAGATCTGTGATGGCATCATCGCCTATAAAGGTGACCGCACCCACCCACGTTCACGCTGCTGAGCTCTCTTTACAGGACATCTCACTCACCCTCACCTGAGACATCTAACACCAGAGCAAGTGAGGGTTTAGGGTCAGGAGTGCAGGAGGTTCACTTAGCGTGTCCTTTTGTCAGAGTGAGAGTTACAGGATTGGCTGTAGTCTTTGGGGAGTGTTTTTTTTTTTTTTTTTTTTTTTAAAGATTTTTTATTGGGGAATTAGGGGGATAGGAACAGTGCTGGGGAATTGGGGGAAGGGGAACAGACAAGTTGCTGTTGTTTTGTTCTTCAATCTAGTTGTGGAGGATGTCGCTTCACTGGCCCAAGTTGGCACCATCATCGCGCTCTTCTCTGGCGAGGCAGATCAGTCGCCGGCTTCTGGACGGCCGCTCACTGCGGCTGCTGGCCGCTCACGCTGGCTGCTGGCTACACAAGGTAGCCCATGGCAACCCACTGCCACAGGGGCTGCAGCCTACGCCGTCGCCGGCGACTCCCGGCAGCCCAGCTCCAGGTTGAGCTGTTGTTCAGCATCTTAGCTGTAGAGGGCAGTGTCACTGGCCCTCATATGTGGGATCCGAACCAGGGCCCTCTGGCATCCCAAGCGAGTTCTTAACCATCGCGCCACTCGGCCGGCCCTGGGGAGTGTTTTTTAAGTCCTCACATCTTATGTGGCAACTTTTTGTATTAGAATTGTGCCATAGTTAAGTGCTATATTTAGATATCATATTTCCTAGCTATGGGATAGAAAGAAGCAGGCCTCTGTCTTGGATATAATTTTCCTGAATGAGACAGTGAAATAGCAATTTAAGAAAACGATATGAACACATGACATTACAAGTGGTTCTTAACCTTTTTTGTTTGACACATAGTTTTGAGAATCTAGTATAAGAAAAGCTGTGGACCCTTTCCCTAGAAAAGTGCATATACAAAATTTTGCACATATTTTGGAGGGTTCACAAAGCCCTGACCTCTGCATTAAGGAAAAGGACGTAAAGCTACGAGAAAATTACCTTAAAAGCATTTTTATGCAAACATCTTTACCCTATTTCTTGCCTTTTTCAAGACACAGTTTTTGGATGTGTGTTGGGGATAAAGGTGAAGGAGGAGGGAGTTTTTAATTTGGGGTGGGTAGTTTGTAATGTACATGGTGTTTTATGACCAGAAAATTTGGAGATGTTTACAGTGAGCGATTTTAACAAATAACTGCTGCTTCTTACCATCAGCTTTGGCTGGTCTTTCTCTATTTCCCTGAATTCTGAGGAATTTTTTTTTCTCTTGTCTTTTTCTGTCTGCGATTTACCGTGTTCCCCGTGTATAAGACACACCCTTTTTCAAAAAATTTGGAATCTGAAAACTGGGTGCGTCTTATACAGTGGTCGTATAATGGTTGGGAGTTTTCACAGTGATGAGGAGTTGTATGAATTTTATGATGAATAAAATTTGAGTTCAATAACTTTATGTAATACATTTTTTTTCAAATTTCAGGCCCCAAAATTAAGGTGCGTCTTATACATGGGAGCGTCTTATACATGGGGAAATACGATATCTTCATATTTTAGTGGCTTTTTGCAGTTTTTTTTAACCTAAGGTAATAGAGAGGAAAGTGAAAACCAAGCTGTCCTAAAACGTAAAATTTTGTGGCACCTAAATGTACCCTTTACCCTCCCAGAAGATCACACTGCGTTCTCAGCCACCCCATCTGACCTAATGTGAGACAGCAGTGGGTCTGTGTGCCTGTCCCTGGCCTTCTGGCACGGAACCGCAGGCTTTCTCTCTCTAGTAAGTTACTAGAAGGGAGGTAGCAAGTGAAATAGCCCCACAGTGTGAATAATGTTTGGGTGATACAAAGTAACTGTTCCAGGAAATATTTACAGTGCACATTATTCATTCGCTGGAATGTAATTGAATCCAAACCAACAGAGAGCTAGAAAACAGTCTTTGGATGAGAGGGTCTTTGCTGTAGTGAGACTGGTGGAGCTAGAATCTGCCCGAAGCAGCCTAGCTGCCTATGGAAGTTCCCATGTCTCGTTCTGTCTTCACACAAAGTTTTTCTCATTACCCAGCTAACACTGTGTTACGTATCAAGTATATATACTATACTTTTATATTTCACATAGTCCTGAAAGTATCTTCTGGTCCCTGCCTTTACCCACATTTCTGAAAAGTCCTTGCGTTTTTCAGTCAGGCCTCCAAAGAAACCTAGATTTTTTTTTTTCTAACTTAATTTTGGGGATTCTCCTTTTTCATTTAAGAGTTAATTCTTGCCTCCCTGGCATCTTATGGTCCTTCCACTAAGCCTGGCATTCTTTTGCAGATTCTTCCCGACAAGCACTGGCAGCACCACTTTTGAACCTGCCCCCAAAGAAAAAGTAAGTCTGCACATGTGGCAGTCCTCGAATTTTAGAAAAGGACTTGGGGTACCAGACTGACACCCGGCTTTATGTTCCAGGAATGCTGATTACTATGAGAAGATCTCTGACCCCCTGGATCTTTCGACCATCGAGAAGCAGATCCTCGTTGGGTATTATAAGACTGTGGAGGCTTTCGACGCCGACATGCTCAAGGTCTTCCGGAATGCCGAGGTGGGTATTCCTGTCTGACTTCAGACACGGCCTGGGAGTTGGATGGGAGGGAACTCACTACTCCAGGACTTTCAGGATTTTCACCCTATTCTGTCAGCCTTCGTATTTCTGGTTTAGAAAGGCCACAGTTGATTTGGAGTCCCTTAGGGCAAGGGTTACATTGCTCAGGACAGTAAGTGCATGTGAAACACACAGACGTAGGTATAGGCAAGTAGTTGTAAGTGTATCTTAAGAATGGAATTGAGGGGTGTTAGGCGAATAGGCTGTGGAGTAAGTGAAACTCGCGAGGGAAGGAGAGGACGGACTATATAGTGTATGGTGCGTAGAAAATAGGAAATCCTTCAGTGATTTGAAACACCTGGGAGAGGGGTTTAAAGGGTGTGAGAGGCTACTAGGTGAAGGGAGGATGGAGGCTGAAGAAAAGAAGGGAGAGAGAACAAGAGACCCGTGGGAGAATTCGAGCCATCTTTATTAGAACCTGCTTTCTCCTGAAACCCCGCTTCCATATGTCTTTAAAACAGTGGCTCTGTCCCTGATGTGTCAAGACAGAGGTGAATGGAGCGCTTCTCACTACGTTGTCCTGTGACACTCATCCCCGTCCCTTGCACACTGCTGTGTGTTTACTGAGTGTACAGGAGGGTCTGCGGAAGGCGCCGCCTGCCAGCAATAGAGCCAGTGGGAAGTCACCACGCAGGCAGGCTCTGACGTCCGTGTGCTTTAGTTTGCTTTCAGCTGTTTCCAGCTGTCTGGCACTAGATTTGATGGTATTGAAAAGCTGTTCACCAAAATGGGAGGATGAAGAAAATCCTGCCACCACTTAGGTATGCTTTAGGCCACACTGAGAAAAGCAAACAGGTTCTTTGTCCTGCTTTCTGCAGAAGTACTACGGGCGGAAATCCCCGACTGGGAGAGACGTTTGCCGCCTGCGAAAGGCCTATTACAATGCCCGGCATGAGGCCTCGGCCCAGATCGATGAGATTGTGGGAGAGACAGCGAGTGAGGCCGACAGCAGCGAGACCTCAGTGTCTGAGAAGGAGAACGGGCATGAGAAGGACGACGATGTCATCCGCTGTATCTGTGGCCTCTACAAGGACGAAGGCCTCATGATCCAGTGTGACAAGTGCATGGTGAGGGTCAGGGCAGGAAGCAGAAACCTGGTCCTGACGAGCACGGTGACAGGCCAGAGAAGCGGCCGGGCCAGTGTGGCTCGATGGGCTTTGTCAACTTGAACTTTGCCTGGTTTTTGTGACCCTTCACTGTTCACCGTATAGTCTGCCCCCGTTTTTATTCCCTTTCGTTCTATCCTTCCCTCCTTTTCCCACCTCCCATTATTTCTGCCCACTTTCCCCTGCACGTGCCTCACGGAACCTGGCTCAGGATGCTGGGTGTAGGGTGGTGTTTTCCCGTGAGAACCACGAGCACGTTCCACTCCACGCGCACTGATACAGCTGGTGTGCCGCACAGAGAGCCCCTGACAAAGGCCTCAGGCCTGGGGTGAGCCCTGGCATCCCCCTGTTTGCTCTGTCTGAGCTTGTCACCTTACATGGACAGTGGAGCCATTAGCAACACACAGGGCTGCTGGCAGGATGTAATTAGATAAGGGATCGTTGATGTATATTATTTAGCGAGTAGACTTCGGTGCTATTTCATCATTTTCCTGCTCTCTGTCTCCTGTTGTATTTGCCCAGATCTGTGTAGTGTGTGAACCAACCTGTATACTTGTGTTCAGACAAATCCTTCTTCTTTGCCCTGTTTTATCATCTATCCCTCGTTTTTCACTCACCCACTTACCCCTGAGTTCACTCCTGTGTGACTGTCCCCTCTCCTATTGCTGCCCTCTATTCTCAGCCCCCAGCCCTTCGGCGGTGAGTCTAACCCATGCCCCCCGCCCCTTTTCCTGCAGGTCTGGCAGCACTGTGACTGCATGGGAGTCCACTCGGATGTGGAGCATTACCTCTGTGAGCAGTGCGACCCGAGGCCCGTGGACAGGGTGAGCGCCCTGAGCTGAACGTGGGGACATGGTGGCGCTGCCTTACCTGCCCTGGGGCGCCGAGTTTCCCCTGACAAATCACTCACTCTCTCTGGGCCTATTTCTTACACTTTCCATTGAGGGTGATAATCCCGCCCTTCTTTTCTCAGGAGTGGGATTGAAAGGAAAATAAAATATTAGAACTCTATGGAAGGAATGGTATTATATAAAACTATGGCTTTTATAAACACTATGGACTACTCGTAAAAGAAGTAGATTGGAAAGCCCAGAACTTGAGTGCTGTGAACACACTTACCTTAAGCACCGTTTAAGTGGAAGAGCACTCGACTCCGAGCCAGCAGAGGCTGTTCTGAGGCCTGCTTCCTGGAGAGCCGGCCGGCGGGCCGGGTAGCTCTCCGGGTTATGAAGCGGGTTTTGTGTTGGCTCTGCCATAGTTCTCCGAGTGGTGTTGGGCACGTTACCTCTGTGAAAGAAAGCGTTTGCCAGTGCTGCTGCTGCTGTCACTCTGCATGGCCAGCTCTTTGTTGTGAGGGGAGCATTGTGAATGTTTGTCTTCCCCGGGCCTTGGCACTCAATGCTGGTAGCCCCTCACCATCATTGTGACAGAGTTCCCCTCCACCCGTTTTCAAATGCCCTCTAGATGGCACAGAGCAGCCACAGTTAATGCTTCGTAGCGTGTGGTTTGGGAGACTTCACCTGTCAGTTTCATCCTCTCCCTCACTTTCCAAGTTCAGCATCTCCAGTTGCTTTCATCTTTTTGTGTGTGTGGTATACGAGACGACTGAACAGTGAGTCTTAACTGGCTGAGAATTCTAGGTGCTGGTCCTCTTCCTCTTGAGTAGAGGTCAGCAGGCTGGGTAGTAGTCCCAGCCCTGACCCATTGGCTTTCTGCTCTTATCAGGAGGTACCCATGACCCCGCGGCCCCACTACGCCCAACCTGGCTGTGTCTACTTCATCTGTTTGCTCCGAGATGACCTGCTGCTTCGTCAAGGTGCGTTCCCAGGAGCTTACCCTGCTTGTCAGAGCTGACTTTCTGAGTAGTAGGAGGTACCTGCTGTTTGCATCATAGTTACGTCTCCACATGACGTTTAATAGCCGTGGAATAAAGGGTTTTCTGTCCTTCAGTCCTTAGGCTTACCTACCTTCCCCTCCACCAAACAAAACTAGCTTGGAGAGACCCGGGGAGTGATAAAGCTCATTTTAAGGCTGGCAGGACACAGGACCCCAGGAGGTGGAAGGTCTCCCTCGTGTCCGTCTCATAGCCTAGAGGTGGTGATCACCACCATTAGGCTGCTGCGGGTAGCTCTGTCTTCATTGTTGCCGATTTTCAGTCACTTCTCTAGAGACTGGGGGTCAGACAATGGAAGTCTAACAGTTCACACAGGAAGCATTTGAACCTGTCCTGTGTCCTGTGCCTTCCTAGGTGACTGTGTGTACCTGATGAGGGATAGCCGGCGCACGCCCGATGGCCACCCGGTCCGTCAGTCCTATCGACTGCTGTCTCACATTAACAGAGAGAAGCTTGACATCTTCCGCATTGAGAAGCTTTGGAAGAATGAAAAGTAAGTGTTGAGGCCTAGCTCCTTCTTCCAGCTGGGCCCTCCCTGCACAGAGCTGAGTGTTCACTAGGATCTTGCTAATCAACTAAACCTCTCCCTTCTCTTTTTTCTGTTTTAGAGAGGAACGGTTTGCCTTTGGCCACCATTATTTCCGTCCCCACGAAACCCACCATTCTCCATCCCGTCGGTTCTATCACAATGAGCTGTTTCGGGTGCCACTGTATGAGATCATACCCCTGGAGGCTGTGGTGGGGACCTGCTGTGTCCTGGACCTGTACACATACTGTAAAGGTAAGTGACCTGTGCCTGTCCCCGATCACTGCGCTGCAGCCGCCCTCTCCATTCTTATCATCTCTGATGCCAGGTTGTCCAGGGCCAGCTGGAGCTTCAGAGTGCTGCACAGTGTTTTTTCTGGCTTTTAAATACTGTGTGCTTAGCATTCTCAGTATTTGTGGAGAGAGAACGCTCCTTCAGCCAGCCATCCCAGAATCCTTAAGACAACCATCAAGCGTGTACATTAGTTTTCTAAGCTTCGTGATTAACAGTGTGAGCCGTGGAGTCAGCCAGTATACTTCACACCCCAGCTCCACCTCTGTGCCCTGGACAGGCAGGTTCCTTAACCTACTGAAAATAGGGATTGGTATCTATTTTAGAGTTTTTCATGGGTTTTTCTATTTTTATTTTTTGTGGGTTTTGAGGTTTGTTAAAGCATTAGCAAACAATATGCAAAAATGAAGTTAAGATAGTTTAGAGTGTGTTGTAAAGGTTAATAATGAGACCACCTGTGGCAGCGCTTAGCCCAGTTGATGGCTCACAGGAGAGGGCTCTGCGTGTTTGCTGTCGCTGAGGTCAGTGCCAGCTCTCCGGGTGTCACAGCAGAGCAGTCCAGGGGAGTGTGTAGGCCATTCGCACACTGTCGGCTTGGAGCTCTGTTCCCCCAATTAGACAGTGCGCATTTCCAGACGTGCCTGCCTTAGTTCCACTGCCTTCTTCCTCCCAACTTGCCCAGAATGCTCTGATTGTCCCTCAAAACCCCGCAGCTCTCACGTGACCTGCGTTTCTGGTTTCTTCCCATCCTGGGATCTGGACTTCGACTGCAAGGGGCCCTTGTCCTTTCCCAATGCTCGTGCCTGGGAACGCTCCTTCCTCGGCAGCTACCATGCTTAGGAACGGCCCCAGGGTCCCTCTCCAGGGTCGCGCTGCCCTCCCAGTGGTGTGTGCTGGCTCTGGGCAGCTCGGGGGGAAATACGCGGTTATGTAACAGTGTTTCGTTCCCTAGGGAGACCCAAGGGAGTGAAGGAGCAGGACGTGTACATCTGCGATTACCGGCTCGATAAGTCAGCCCACCTGTTCTACAAGATGCACCGGAGCCGCTACCCTGTGTGCACCAAGCCCTACGCCTTCGACCACTTCCCCAAGAGGCTGGCACCCAGGAGAGATTTCTCGGTACGTCCTTCCTGCTGACCGCGCGCAGGACCAAGCAATTGTAAGACCTTCTTAGAACAAGAGCAGGAATCCGCAGGGGGCTCCCTGCTCCCTCCTCCTGTTTCCATCCCACACTGTGGAGATGTCCGTCTCTGCTGGGGGTGCTGGCGCAGCATAAACACATTCAGTCTACATTGCCCGGCATGGCTGTGCCTCAGGAAATCTTTGATTTCCGGACTGCACTTTCGTCAGGTTTTCCTTTTTTTTTCTCTCTCATATCTCTCTAATCTTTGCCCTTGAGACCCCTATTACAGTTTTTGTTTTTGTTTTTCATACCCATAATTTTAAAAAGCAAGTAGAAGTAATAGCAAGAACTTTGAGAAACCTTCGGTGGAAATAGTTCACTGCTTTTTCTGTTCCTGGATTTAAAATGTAAGAACATCATTATATAAAATTTGAAGAGTACAGAAGCATTAAGAAAGCTGGTATACAGTCATGCACCACATGTGCGACGGTGCTCCCATAAGACTCGAAGAGCTGGAAACTTCCTGTCGCCCAGTGACCACATACCTGTCCTGACACGGGTCTGGTGACGCTGTGCAGACAGACCTATGTGCTGCCCGTCGTATAAAGTACAGCAGACACAGTTATGTACAGTACGTGATACTTGGTAATGAATGACTGTTACTGGTTTATGTGTTTACTATACTTTTTAATCATTATTTTAGACTGTACTCTTTCTACTTGGATAAAAAAAGTTAGCAGTACACAGTGTGCCGTGTCACTCCAGCAGCCTCACACATCTCGTGTTGTTTTATAAATGTGTAGCCTAATTGTCCAGTGTGTGCACAGCCTACAGTGGTTACAGCACCTCCTGGGCCATCACACCCACTCCCCGCTCACTCCCTCCCCCAGAGCAGCTTCCAGGACCGCAGGCTCCATTCTGGTGAGTGCGGTGCCGTCTCTTTTGTACCGTATTTTTACTGTAGCTTTTCTACGCTGAGATACGCAAATACTCTCCATTGTGTTCCAATTGCCTACAGTATCAGTCCAGGACATGCTGTACGGGCTTGTAGCCCGGGAGCAATAGGCCACGCCGCATGGCCGGGGTGTGGAGTAGGTTACGCCACATGACAGACGAAAGCGCCCAATGGCACATTTCCCCCCACTAAGCAGAACATGGCTGTATTATCCACTACCCAGAAAATAACCTCCGTTAATGTTTCATCAGCCTTTTTCCTAGGTGTACTTTTTTTCAAAGTGTTGTGAACACACTCCTGTTATTTTATGCCTTTTCATAAAGCTTTTCACCGCCCACCCAATCTATTCGCCATAATGGCAGCCAGAGCTAAGCTCCTCATCCCTGAGTCTTCTTTTAGTGGGCCTGTCATAGCTGTCATCCTGGAATGCTTAGAAAGTGTAACCAGAAACCAAACCTTTGTATCCCTGTTTTTCCTATTATTTTCAGATTTTTCTAAACAGTGCATTCTTTCTGCCCACCATCAAGCCCTGCCTCTCAGCTAGACTCCTCTGTCCGTCTTCTCAGTCAGCGGCTCCCTGATTAGCTTTGAGACCCCAACCATGAGTACATCATCATTGGGGTGCGGCAAAAAGAACTGTGAGCCTATGTCATTGTCATTTTAGGATTACAAGCTCTAAGAACCACCGCGGCCTGCAGATTAATAGAAGTGCTGAACTTCTGACTTTAAAACAGCCACCCCCTCGTAAGGGCTGCAGCCCTGTTATCTTCCTTGACTTGCCCACCTCCCTTACCCCGGGTGGCCCAGATCCTCTGGCCCAGCTTTGTCAGCTCCTGCAACACACTTACCGCTTCCTTTCTTCTCTGCAGCCTCACTATGTCCCAGACAACTACAAGAGGAACGGAGGGCGGTGAGTCCTGTGGGGATGTGAGGAGCCTGGAATGGAGCCAGAACCACCGCCGACCCCTAGGATTGGGGGTCTCTGGTGGAGTAGCCCAGTGTCGCCCACAGAAAGGGCAGGGAGGGAGGTTAGCAAGGACTAAATAGAAGGGAAGAGGGTTTGGAACAGAAGGCTCAGCAGACCCAGAAAAGTCTCTCTTGGGATTCCTGCATGCTTTCCCTGTTACCCCAAGGTGTGTCAGCCCCTGGGACCTTTGTCAAGGAACCAGAGTAGCTAGAAATGCGCAGGTGTAGCTGAGCAGTTTGGGCTCATCGTTTCTATTTGTGCTTGTTTTGTACAAAAGGGATATTTTTGGAGAAAGCACTGAAGGCTTTTCTTCAGTTTATTTTCCTGTTGAATGGCGGCCTAGCTGCTGTACCTCCATCGATAGCTTACACGCAGGAAAAATACTGGATAACAGGTGTGATGAGAGAGTCAAGAAAAGGAAAAGCTCCGTTCTTACTGTAGTTGGACCGTGGGTATCCCCAGGCTGTGCCATGCTGCTCTGCACTCATGAAGCCGTCAGAACTAGCATCAGAACTAGCTGGTATATTTTGTGGACTTGATGGATTCCTGAAAGAAAGGAGAAAAATAGAATTTTACAAATAGAAATTTAATTTCAGAGAAAGGTAGTGATTTGTTCAAAAGATAATGAAGTGAAGACCAGAGCCAAGTTTCTTACCTTTGAGCCAAGGCTCTGGCAGCCAGATTCGGGTCCCAAGCCATCTGAGGTCTCTTCCCTTCATCCCCCTTCCGCCCCCAAGTGCCCTGCTTGGCCTTACTCTGAAGCCGCGTGTCCTTCTGGCAGATCATCCTGGAAGTCTGAGCGCTCAAAGCCACCCCTGAAAGACCTGGGCCAGGAGGACGATGCCCTGCCCTTGATTGAAGAGGTCCTGGCCAGCCAGGAGCAGGCCGCTGAGGAGATGCCCAGCCTGGAGGAGCCCGAACAGGAGGGGACTGCTGCCGACGGCCGCGAGGCTGAGAAAAAGCCGGACGAGAGGAGTCAGGAACCCCAGGCAGCCTGTACCCCCGAGGAGCGACGGCACAACCAGCGTGAACGACTCAACCAGATCTTGCTCGGTCTTCTTGACAAAATCCCTGGAAAAAATGGTAAGAGTCAGGCTAACATCTAGAATTTGAGAGAAATGGGAAATTACGGGAAAGGGAATGAACAAGAACCACTTCTAGCTACTTGTCCAGAATGAAAATCTTCTAAGAAAGAGTTCTTTCATGGGCACGAAACTGGGGAAGCAAAGGATCCCTCCCTAGAGAACAGCATGTCAGAGCTGGGCTTAGAGGTCAGAAAAGGAGCCACTAAGCTGTGATCTCAGAGCTCAGACCTGGAGTGGGGAGTGGGGGGGTGGCATTTGACGCCTCCTCGCTTCTGCTTTCAGCCATTGATGTGACCTACTTGCTGGAGGAAGGGTCAGGCAGGAAGCTGCGGCGGCGTACTCTGTTTATCCCAGAAAACAGCTTTCGGAAGTGAGCCTCAAGGAGCAGCAGCCTCCCGCGCCTGGGACCCAGCGGAGCCGGTCGTCCTGCCTCCTGCTCCCTGAGTGTAGACGGGGGCGGGAAGGTCCGTCCAGCAGCGGCACGGGGCCATGTCGTTGACATTAGGTACTTAGCAAACCTCGGAGCTGGCGGTGAGGAAGAGGAGGGTCTGTCTAACCAGGTCGGCGCAACTTGTTTTCCTCTCCATCTCTTCACCCCGAGGGTTAACGATGCAGGGATGAGGGAGAGCACATTAGGGGGACCAAAACCCTTTGGCACCCCCAGCACCTGCCCCTCCCTGTGTCACCCTCTGACCCCACCGGCACTGCTCCGAAGCTGCTTCCTATACCCAGGTGTAACTCAGAGTCCACAGGGGTGACCCCGGCCTCCGCCCCTCCCCCGTCTGTTCTCAGTGGGCTCCAAGAGCTCAGAAACAGGAGCTGGGCCTCTGTCCAGATCCCCGACTAGGAGGCTCCTCCGTCCTTGCTCAGCCAGGTCAAAGTCAAACCGGAGTTGCCACCTCAAGCACTTGCATGTGCTGCCTGCCCCGCCTCTGCCCCCATGGAAGTGGGGGCCCCGGGGCCCCACGGGTCATCAGGGCCCGTCCTTCCGGGACTTTCTGAGTTGGAACCTTCAGAACCTGCCCAACGTGTTCTTTCTAGCGAGACGGCCAGGCCCCCGCCAGCACATGTGCGTTTTACGCACTGTGGTTTGTGTGTCTGCTGTGCTGTGCAAATGGAAATTCATTCCAAAATAAACTCGTTTTAAAAGCTACATAAAAATGAACTCTAAACCCCACCAAACAAAAGTCACTACATGAACTGTTGAACAGTATTCACCTATCAGAGTATTTGTTGTGAGTGTAGATTATCAATTGAAAACACTACTCTTGTTTTAATTGTACAGTTTTCAGTGTCCATCTCTTAAAGAGACAGTGTCCCCGCCCCAGTTCCATCTCCTCACCCTCCTGTTGCCTTCAGCATCAGGAGAGAGATCAGGGTGTTTCCTTCCTTCCCATTCTCTGACCAGAAGCTACCAGACAATAGTGTCTCTTTAAAAATAAAATTTAAAAAGCTTTGCTTTGTTGTCCTCTCAGACATACATATGCATATACGTTTTAGATGTTCTTATAAGAGAAAAGATGGTTTTTAAATGTGCCAAGTTGTGTGTGTATATATATATATGTATGTACATATATATATGTATATATATATATATCTGCTGCGTGATTAGTAAGCAATACAGTAGTAAACAGGTCCCCATTACTTTTTCTAATACCGGACCAATGCTGTCCTAATTGTACATTTTCCCTTATGATGACGACGCTCTGACTTGTTTAGGTAGAGAAACATTGACCACCTTCCATTCCATTGAATCTTTTTTTCTTTTTCTCCTTTCTGTGTCAATCTTGAGGGAAAAAAAAAAAAAAAAAAGACCGGGGATGCCAGAGGTCCCCTTGAGCAGAGAAAAAAGCAGAATAAATATTTTATTAAAGAAAAAAGAGAATTAAGAAAATAGTTTGGAGTATTTTCTTACTGTAGAGAAGCACTGTACATTGCTGCGAGGCCTGGGTATCCGATACTCGCGTGTGGGGCTGGAGAGCGCATGTCCAAGCCCATCGGCTGGTTTCTTTCGATTTTCATTTCAGGGAACCAGGTGGGAGGGAGGTGGGGATAGGGGCACTTTGGGGGTCTCCTTTTAGTCAAAAGCAGGAAAGTGACAAGAAAGAGTTTAAAATTCAATATTTCCTTTAATAGTGTTAAACACTAAAATTTTAAAAAAGACAAAAAAAGAAAAAAACTTTGTAAAATGCGTAAACAGAAGCAAAAGACACTACGCTCTGTCATTTTATCTTTCTTTTGTTGAAAGACTAAAAACTGAAATGTTTTTTAGACAATCAAATCTTAGGTAAGTGCAAAAACTTGTTTTTTCTTACTGGTGTAGAAATTAATGCCTTTTTTTATTTTTCGGTTATTTTATAATAACGAAATAAAAAGAACCCCCTAGCTGCCAGGTGGGTTTTGGTGTTTGAAATGCGGGGCAAAGCACTACATCACTGCAAATAGTTCCAGTTAGTCTGCATGTCTGTAGGCTGTGTGATTGCCGAAAATATAAATGCTGCTAATATATTTCCTTTTTACAAAAGCATATCTAAATAGATGATTGTTTTGATGTTAATCTTTGTAAATTATGTATTACCAATTTTAACATTGGATGTAATTGCATAAAAAGCTTGCATCTCAATCCTTGAAAGTCTAGTATTAAATGGAAAAAACTTTTCCTAACTACAGAGTGGTGAGCTTGCTATTTTTTTCCTCTTTCCTAGCCTCCATTTCTCTTCCAGGTCCTCCTCCATCCTGTTTCCAAAGAGATCTTTTTCAAACCATATCATCAGCATCCTGGGCCCGACATGGGCACTCTTGCCACTGGTGACCACTGGATGAAGCCACTTCCTCAGTACTGGGATCTTCCCAGTCTGGGCCCAGCCTTAGTCCCATAGTGATCATGCCCACCGCTGTCCCTTGCATGCACACACAGCATCTCATGTAACACTCATTCACAGCCTCCACGGGTGGCAGCGATAACTTCCAGGCACGTTTTTTAGCCTGCCATCTTAGACTTGCCATCGTAAGCAGTTTACATGTGTTTATTTATCTGCTCAATCTTCAGAACAGCCCTTTTAGGTAGGTACCAAAACCCAATTTTATAGACGAGGAAAATGGAAGCAACAGAGAGGTTAATTTGCCCAAGATCATGCAGCTCGTTAGTTAATCCTCATTAGCCCTCTGTAGCTACTCCCATGTTGCGGAAGCGAAAACGAACTCAGGGCGGTTAGGCAGTTTGCCGAGCTCCCCTAGTCACTAGTGTTGGAGAAGTCCAGAATTGTTAACATTCATCTGCAAATAGCAAAGTGTCAGGAGTAGCCACAGCGTGGTCCTGCCAACAGAGGAGGGTCGGTCCACTCCTGCCAAAAGCCATACGTGCTGCCTGACGTGGGCCCAATGTGTAGCTCAAGTGCAGCTGCTTACAAGCATCAGGACAGCCAGCTGCAGGAGCACCATCTCCACTCCTAGGAGTTCCCCCTGACAGCAGTCTCTTGCAAGTGCAGGACAGTCTGACAGTCTGTTAGACGTTAATGTTTCTTCATTTGGTTTTTCCCTTTGTTTTAACCTTCTGTACCTACTATGACCGTTCTGTTCTAGATAATACAGAATAGTCATAGAACGCTAAATTGAATTTCGTGTCAATATCTGGTCTATTTTATGACGCTCTGCAAGGTCCCTCGGTGCTCTTACCCGCTGCACAGCCCTGAGGCCACGCAGTGTCACCGGACCTCAGTGATACTCTGACAGAACTGAGCTTAGGACTCTTACAGAGTAGGATGGCCCACTCTAAAACCAAGCTCCGGGGACAGGAGTCAGAAATAAGGAGAGGGCAGGTTGAATCATGGGAAATAAAAGCTGTCACACAGTGTGAGATTTCTACAGCTGCAGACATCACGGGCCCCCCCAGATCAACAGTGGTCCCCAAGCATGGAAGTCTTCCCTATGTACTGTCATACCTTCGGACGTTATGAAATGAAACTTATTTTGCAGTAGTAATTGCAGCTGAAGAAGCTTCATAAGCTGGAGCAGTCTGACTGCTAAGACCACACCGAGGACTCCAGGAGCTGCTGGAGCCCAGTGGAGAAGCATCACCCTGGAAAACAACTGAGGTGCAAACCAAGGGCATCCAAGCACGAGAAGCAAAGGGAGCACACGGAGCAGGTGAACGATACGAACTGGCCAGGAGCGGGGTCTAAGGATAAGTTAGAAAATGCAAAAGTGGGAGCCATTGTGGAGTCTCACCGAGCCTGCTCCCGAGGACTGAGAGAGCTTTGGCCTCAGCCCGTGCCTGTCTCCTGTCACCAGCCCACGTTCCCAAAGGCAAGGGGAAGCGTCAGGTGTGACCTGTGTCACCTCGGCTCTCAGCTTCCCCCAGCCATCCTGCTGCCTGGTTGTAACCACAGCTTTCTGTCCTGGCCTTGGCGATTGTCCTCTAGCCAGTCGCTTAGTGATGGCCAGTCAGTCCCACCCTGGAGCTCAGCGCCTGAGCTGCTCTCCTTTCAAAAGACTGAAAGGACTCATTAACTCCTAACAGCAATGGGTGTCAGGTGATTGTGCTTCTTAATGGTGATATTAAGTAGAAAAAAATGTGTCATTTCTTGCAGCCCTTTAATCCTCTCCTTCCCTCCAGATCTGATGAGTACAATTTCAGGGGTGTTGTGTCTCCCCACTGTTCCACATTTACTCAGGCTCCTGCCGTATCAGTCACCACAAAGCAGTCCAGTCTCAGGACTGACGGAGGGGCGCTTCTCCAGTCCTCAGGGGACAGTAAGGACTGACCTGGGCCAGAAAGGAAGCATCTCCCCCGGGCTTCTATCTGAGGCCTCCCTCCCCTCCCCCACAGCGGTGTCCTGAAACCAACAGTGACACACACACATTCAACTCCCACACTTTATTGGGACAGGAGGAAGGCCGACCACCACAGGCCCACCCACCAGGGGTGTCTGGGCCTCAGCACCTGGCACAACACGAGGACACAATAAATACAGGCAACATGGGATGGGGGGGTCACAGCTGGGGCGCCAGGCCGTTCATTGTGAGAACAGGCATACACTGTACTGGCAGAGTCCACGTACACACCAAGAAGGCAGAGGGGCAGGATTTCCGTTTTGCAGGTGCTAAGGAACGCTGCCTTATGTGGATGGGGCAGAGGAAAGATGGCATGGGGGGAAATTCTTTTGATATACTTGGAAGAAGAGCAGATTTCAACTTACAGGTGGGCATGGGCGGGAGAAGGAAAATTTATTTTACATATGGGAGGAAAGTGTCATTTGGTGACATCCGGGAGAATGCTTCTGGGATGATTGGTTTACACGGGTTACTGTGCAGAGGCCATTCCACTCCCGGGTGACAAGAGGGACAAAGGTGCAGGAGCGGAGGGTTCCGGGCCTAGAGAACAAGTGAGGTGTACCCCACGGGCACCAGCCCCTCTGCCCCGTCCCGCCCACAGCGCAGCCAGTCTTCGTCCACAGTGGCGAGGACACGCAGCACTTCCCCACGCCGGAAGCTCAGCTGCTCCGGTCCTGCAGCCGAATGGTCACAGAGAGTACGGACTGCCCTGTGGGAGCCAGAGGGAGGGGCTGGGATGAAGTGCAGTAGGGTGCCAGCTGTGCCCAGGCCTCACCCTCCCACTGTGTGGTGTGTCCCTTTGGTTTCAGCTCGGGGAACACTCATGGGCTCATGGGGACCATCTCCCCAAAGGCTGATTCTGGCCAGGGCCCCAGCCCTCTCCCGAGCTTCAGCCCTTGGCTTACCTGACATGGTTTGCACTTCTCTGTACTTCAGTTCCACGTGTGCAAACTACATGACTCAGCCTGCAAACCAGGCGCTCCTGTGCCCTCTGTGCTGGGAGACAGCACCACCTGCCACCCACCCAGCTGCTCCCAGCAAACCCAGACGCCTCGCTCCTCACATCCAGTCAGTTGTGCAATCCACCATCCCGGCCCCTCAGCTCCACCACCCCCGCCCCAGCGTGGGCCTGCCCTCTGAATCCCTGCATTCGATCCCACTGGTCTTCCTGAATCTCGGACTCCTTCCCCAGCCTCACCCTGCACATGGCAGTCGGCGGTCCTTCCCAGGCCAAGACCCCAATGGCTCCCACTGCCTCGGTGAGGTCCAGGCTCGTAACTGGCCCACTGGGGCCTCTGGCCACCCACTCACTGCTGCCAGTGCCTCCCGTCCAGCCACAAGCGGCTGTGAACCCCAGTTCCTTCCTAGCACCCCTGGGCCTCTCCGCCTTTGCATGCTGTTCGTTCTGCCACATGTACACCCCTCACCATCACTGGGCCTTCCGAGTCCCCAAACCTGGGGAAGAAGCTCTGTCTTTATGGCCCCAAAGGACTCAGCCTTCCTTTCCCAGAGCCTTTGCCACAGAAATTGAACGGCTGGTTTCTTCACGTGGTCACTTCACTGGACCACAAGCCCCCCGGAGGCCGGGGCGTTCCCTCCCCTAGCATAATGCTTGGCACATAGTAACTGCTTGGAATTATTGCCAAATGAAAGAAAAATCAAGAGGCCTAATTCCATGGATGGAGAGAAACCAAAGCAAGCTGCACAGCCCAGGGTAGGAGCAGCGCCTGGTGCCAAAGTAGGAGGCTCCACTAACTGGAAGCACAAGCCTTCAGGGTACGCACGCGGGCACATCCAGGTCCACGCCTCTGAGCCACAGGCTTTCCTAACATTGTGTCAGTCTTACAACAACCATAAATTACCCTCTGTACAGAAAAAAACGAAGGCTCAGAGATGAGTGTCACACCAAGGGACAGCAAAGATGGAATGCAGACTTAAGCACCGCTGACTTCACAGCCCGAGGCCTCACACCCTCCCCTGCGAGCACACACATCCCAGACCCTCCTTACCTGTGGGTCTGCACCATGCTGGGTACTGAGGCCTCGAGCTCCTCTGGAGAAGAGGGAGTCTCGGGAGGTGCCCCCCATTTCACCAGAGTCAGCACACTCACTGTGGGAGGCAGCCAGCTGGATGGTCTCCTGGAGGAAAGGACAGGGTCACAGAGGTCACCCCACCTTCAGAAAAAGAACCCGAGAACCCAGGGCTTTGGAGGAAGGAGGAGGCTGGGGGGACTAACCATGGCTCAAAATAGGTCAGGAGTTGGTCACAGCCGGGCAGAGCGGTGCTTGTGGGACCCAGGTAACTTTAGGGTAATAAGGGAGGTGACACCAAAGGTCTAGAACACCACCAATCACAAAAAAAAACCTGTGAGACCCACAGGCTCACCACAGTGCCTGAGGCCACTAAGCCAGCTGTGGTCAGACCCCAGGGCAGAGCGCTCAGCACATTTCTTCTTTCCCTGGAAGGGCCGAATAGTGCTTTTGGCTGAGGGCCAAGAGGCAAACCGGACAGCATTACATAGGTACCTAGGCAACCATTAAAATGTAACCACTTTAGAATGAAGCCATTTTTAGCTCATGACTCTAGAAAAACAGACTGCCAGCCTCTGACCTGAAGGACCCCTGTGGAGTTTCAAAGTAGGATCCCTGGGGGCTCTGGGAGGGAGTCAGAGGTCACGGAGGGGCCCAGTACCCCATTACCTGGACTTCAGACCTCCACCTGCTGATTCTGGGAGGCCCCCAGGCGCTCCAAACAGTCTCCCCAGCCACACGCCTCTGCCTGGTGCCACGTCCTCTGCTGGCTGCGCTCTCTCCTGGGAGCCCTCAGCCGCAGTCCCGGGCCGCCTGGATCCCCACCGGGGAAGGGAGAAGCCTTCGGTGCCCCCAGAGGCGTAGACCCGGGAGGCCTGGGTCAGCTGCTCCCACCAGCTGCCTGATGTAGGGGGGCTTGAGGGAGCTGAAGGGCCTGGAGGGGTCGCTCCCGAAGTCCCACGAAGGCTCTGGGCCAGCCGGCCCCCCCAGTGCAGCATGGCTTGCACAGTCTGCTGCAAGGCTGGGGGCGAGCCCGGGGGGGCAGGGGCCGGTGGCGGACCCGGGGGCAGCTGGTGGTGATGCTCAAAGAGCAGGTCCAGGTGGAAGGTGAGCACCGACAATGGCTGCAGCAGCAGCAGCAGCTCTGTGGACAGCGAGGGGCAGCCGCCCCGGGCCAGGGAGAAGAATCCAGTGGGCAGGTACAGGAGGGACAGCAGGCCTGGGGAAGACGGGCAGCATCAGCCCACCCAGGCCTCACTGTCTGCAGGGCATTGGGGCAGACGGACATGGCGGGGGACACGCGGATACACCCCTGCCCACGTAGAACCAAGGCCAAGAGGGAGGTACACGTGGAACAAGTGGTGACAACAAACTGAGTGATGGAAGGAGGACTTGAGGGCCATGGGAGCAAATGGGGGTGCTGGAGCCTCAGTGAAGGAGAACCCCAACGATGAATGAAGGTAACGAGGGGGCGGGAGGGGCCTGTTCTAGGTGGAAGGAGGAAGCAGAAAGGACTTGCAGGACCAGGGACAGGCCAGACTTGGGGCAGGGGAAGACGGCGGAGGCCAGAAAATGAAGACCCTCAGAGGTTACCGTGAGGACTTGGGTCTTATCCTGTCTGGGCTATGAGACTCCTTGAGCTTTAAGCAGAAGAGTAAGAAGGGCTGGGATGCAGCATCAGTGGGGACTGGCAGAACAGAGCCGTTTCCCTCCTCCCCGTAGCCTAGCAACCCCATCCTCTCCCATTTGAGCCTCTAACCTGCATCTTCCTGGAGGCTGGAAAACCACAGCTCCAACTGCTTAGTGCTAGGGGGGAAAGGTAGAAACAGGTTCAGGGAGAAGGACTCCAGCCTCCTCCGGGCAGAGACGGCAGATGAGGCTGGAAGAGGAACGGCCTTCTCTGGGAACACGGGGCACCACTACTGTGTCCCACCCACCCTACCCCTGCAGTCTCCAGGCTGCGGGAGGCGCGCCAGAGGGGACAGCCACTCACTTGAGGAGGCCCAGAATGAAGGCATGGAAGCGGCTCCGGCTGCTGGTCAGTGGGGCCAAACGGCTGACCTGGCTATACAGGGTTCCAAGGGACCGGGTGCTGGAACCTGGGGACATGGGTGCTGTCAGTCAGGCCCCAGCCCTGCCCCAGTCGCCAGCCCTGCCCCAGTCCCACACTTGCCCCCTTCACCTGGCTTCACCGAGGCCTCCACCACGCTCCAGGGGCTGCTCCTGCGCTGCCCAGTGATGAGGTCCTTCTTGAAAGGCTTCAGCCCGTCGGCCACCAGGGCGTGGAGGGCCGGACAAAGGGTGGTCAGCACCAGGTGCCCCACATCTGGGCTCAGCCGGCTGTCCCCCAACTGGGCCTGGAGGCAGCACAGTGGGTGTAGGTCCAGAGATACCTCCAGCCCCGGAGCTACATTCGTCTGTTCACTCCCCAACACCATCCCACAGCCACCTTCACCTTTTGAACCAAGTTCCGGGCTGCCCCAAAGTGCGAGATGATTTTATCCACTGAAGCGCTCACGGCTATCAGGAGACCTGGGAGCGGGGCAGGCAGGGAAGAAGTATCAAAGTCCCCGTCTCTCCGGGCACACCCAAGGGACTTGAAGAGACAGTTAATGCAATCTGACCATGAAAGAGGAGGGCCAAAGTGAGGTGAGGGGCTGTTGATTACGAAGCCAGGGGCCAAGAGGCTGGGTGTCCTACCTTTCTTCTGCTCCTGCAGCTGGCCAGTCCCACTCTGGGCTTCTGCCATCCACAGTCGCTGGGCCCCGGGGACACCGGCGAAAGACCAGGAACTACGGACTGCAGGAAGGGAAGAAGAACGCGGTGACACTCACCAAGGGTTACCCCAGGACTCCAGGCTTCCGCACAGGTCACCTCCAGCGAGTCCACAGCGCCCCCGCTGCTGAAGAGTCTTGGGAGAGGGGGACACAGGGCTGGGTAGAGCACGGGGCAGGTCGAGACGGGCCCCCGGAGTGAAATCCTGCTCAGACCCCTGCACTCGCCGCCGCTCTCCACCGCCCCTTCCCCGTTCCCATTCCCTTCCTCAGGTCCGAGCTCCCACCTCCCCGATCCCGGAAATCCTGGCGCGGGGACAGCCGCGCTCACCTCCCACCCGCCCGCCCGCCTGACCAGGGCCTGTCACTGAGCGGGAGATAACAGGACGAGGAAAGGGAGGAGCACCCTGCGCCCGCCCGCGGAGACTGGGCACGTGGGGAGTCCCGACCAATGGAAAGACAGACAGACGGGAATGGGAGGAGAGTGGGAAGGAGAGGAGACCCTAGGACTGGGAGGCTGGAAGGCGCCGGAAAGGGGAAACCCGGGTCTTTTGCCTGCATTCGGCGGAGGGCGTGACCACGACCACTTCAACCAAGGGGCTCCGGGAGTTTCCCGAGCAAGATGGGGGTCAGGCCGTAACTGCACCGGTCAGGGAATCCACAGAGTGTGCGACCCAAGGTCCCTCCCTAACACTGGATTTGCTGGGACCCCCCTTAAACTCAGTATAGAAGCTGCACAAGCCCACTTCCACTACGCCTGGGCCTCCAGGGAGAGGGGCCTGGCCACGCAAGGCGGAGAGGAGCAACCTCCCCCCCACGCAGGACCGGGCCAGATTCCGCATAACCAATGAACTTGCTAGGAATCGGCCCCGGGTCGAGGGGCGGGGCCGAAGCGGGTAACCCGGGAAAAAACTTGAAGCGGAGGTCTGGGCGGGGCTTATGAGTGGGCGGGGCTGCCTGGGGGCGTGGCCTGCGGGGCCAGCCCGTGTCCGTCTTACGTAGCCTGGGCGGAGGCGGTGGGCTCCTGGTCCAGCGAGGGGCCTTCGGCGGACGAGGTGGCGGTGGCAACGTGGGGGCAGGTACCTGGCGGGGTGGGGGAGCCGCGGCAGGGAAGGTGCTACTTCTGGGAAACAGCGGGGACAGCAGCAGTGCCAGCTCAGGGCTGGCCAGGCAGGGCAGGGCTCCCCGAGCCGGAGGCGAATAGGCTCCCACTGGGGACAGGCGGACAGGCAGCAGCTGCTCCTCTGGCGGGCTCGGCGCCCCCAGCAGCCGCAGCCCCGCGCCCGGCCAGCGGGCCAGAGGCGCCAGGAGCAGAGACCCAGCTGCGCCCGCGCCCCCACCCTCCAACAGGGGGCGCCCGTCGGCCGAGAACCGGAAAACCAGGGGCCGAGGGAGCAGGAGGGGACGGGCTGCAGGCGGGATTGGCGGGGCAGGTGCGGAGGGGAAGGACGGCAGCGGGACCGGCAGCCAGGCAAGGAGGGGCGGGAGAAAGAGGGAGCAAAGAGTTAGTCCCGTAACCCAACAACCCACCCAGTTTCCCTTTCCCGGAGCGCTCCCTGGTAGAAAGGGACGGGGAGGATGGGTGACACAGAATGGAGGGGAAACAGAGGGGACCGGGTAGTAAACTTTGGAGGCATGGGCGAGGCCGAAGCCCAGCCCTTCTGCTACTTCCTCCTGCGGCCTCTTACCCTCAAGGCCGGCCTGCGCGCCCGGCTCCTCCGGTTCCTTCGTGGCCGGGGCCTCCTCGCCAGCCGCGGGGCTGATCGCCCTGCCCTCCTCCGGCTGGCCCTCGGCTATGGGCTGCAGCCCCGGTCGGTTCTTCTTCCTCCGGGCCGGGGCGGGACCAAGGCCCAGCCAGCTGGGGGGTCTCGGGGCGGGACTGGTGGGGGCGGGGCCCGGCTTCGGGACCGAAGTTCCTTGAAGGTGGTGACTTCCCGGGGAGGCGCCGCGGAGCCGCCCAGAGACCCGGTGGGGGGCTGCTCGGTGTCGGGCGAGAAGACTATGAGCCAGTCACTGCGATCTTTCTTGGCCTGTGGCACAAGGGGCAGCCCCGGGCCCCGCTTGCGCTTCTGGGCCAGCTCGTGGAAGGACGTGATTGTCCGGTGGGGCACCGGCTCCTCGCTGACGTCACTTCTCCATCCCCCATCAATTTTCCCTGCATCTGTTTTCAAGCCAGAATCAGTTATTCCTGTGTTGGTTTTCCAACCGGACTCGAATTTTCCGGGTTCAGTTTTCCAACTAGAGTTAGTATTCCCATTGATTTTCCAACCAGAGTTATTGTTGTCAGTGATTTTCCAGCCAGCTTCAGTTTTCTCTGTGTCACTTTTCCAAATGGGGTTGATTTTCCAACTAGGTTCGGTTTTCCCAGCGTCGATCTTCCCATCATCCACCTCCAGGAGCTCGGAGGTAGGGAGGTCCTGCTCCCCACCCTCGTCCTCTTCCTCTAGCCCTGGAGAAGGGAGGTCCTGGCCGGTGGTCAGGGCGTTGCAGTTGGAGTCCAGGCCAGGGCCGGGTGGCGATGAAGCCCCGGAGCAGGAATCAGGAGAACAGCAGAAGCTGTCCGGAGAGCAGGCGCCAGGGCCTGCGGAAGCCAGTGGGGAGCCCTGCTCCAGGGGGAGGATGCTAGGCTGAGGGTGGACATCTTCGTCGCCAGGGAGGTCCCGCGAGTAGACTGAGATGGGGGACTCGTCAGGGCTGAGGTCTGAGCAGGAGCTAAGAGAGGACGAGCAGCCCGGGTCCGAGGGAGAGGCAGCCCCCGCTTCCTCCTGTGCTGGGTCCTGCCGCGTTTCTAGGCCTGGCCCGTGCTCCTGGCAGCATCGGCAGGGCACGGCGGGGCTGTTGGAATTGGCGTCCACCAGGGTCCCGCTGCAGGGACCCCGCCGCTCCTTGCCCCCGGTGTCCCCTGGGGGAGGGGATGTGCTCAAAGGCCCCTCGCGTAGCTCAGGACGGCGCGACAAGTGCAGGCCCAAGGAGACATGCTGGAGGTGGATGTGGTTGAGGTTGCAGAGCAAAGCCCTCTGAGGGGACAGCATGGTGCCGGAGGCGACGGGGTGGCCTCTAGAGAATGAGGAGAACCGGGCCTCTCACATCCGCCTACCTGGCAACCGCCGCGATGCAGACCTAGAAGACAGGGGTGGTGAACCTCAGCCAGTGAGGGCGCCGGCCGCGGGAAGGACACCAAGGTGACTGATGGCTGGAGCAGGCCTGGGCAGGCGATGGCTGCTTTGGACAATATTCAAATGAGATGCAAATGACCATCTACTGGCCTTTAGTTTCCTCTGCAGTGTTTGCAGGTGGAGTCGAATGTAACCCCCCGGGAATGGGGCGGGGAGAATCAGGGAATGCGGCTGCGCTCTGGATCTCCGTGGAAGTGCGGGGGCTTGAAAAAGGATGCGGACCAGGATGGACCCCAGGTCCTCTCTGCCGCAATCACTCCCAGAGGGAGCAGCCAAGCGAGGCCCCGCCCAGATGCTCTGAAAAGGGGAGCGGAAGTGAGGCGCGTCTGGCTGGTTCATGCGGGAAAGGGGCTGGTGCGCGGGGAAGGACTGAGCAGCACAGACCCCGGAGGGCTCCAGCCTACTGGCGCGGTGCACCTACGCCCTGCTGGAACCCGTGTGTCCGTCCATTCTCTCCGCACTTGTCCATCACCCAGCCACCACCACACCCCTGTTCATTTTCATTGCTCCCTCCTGCCCCACCCCGCATGCCCGATCCATTCATCCACACCCCCAGGCCGACCTCCTCACCGTGGTCCTCCTGCAGCCGCTCCCAGCCTTGGGCTCTCCTGTGGCTCCCCCGGACCCCGCCCGTCCCTGGTCCCCGCAGATCCCCGCACAGAACGGAGGGGAGGGGCGCGAGGACAGCCCACAGCGCTGCGCAGCCGCGCCCCTTCACGCTTGGGCGGGGCGTGGCTCTGACCCAGCCCCCAGCACTTCACGTCTTGCTTGTGTCACCCGCCTAGGCCCATCTGGCAGTTTAGGGGATGTCCTAAGGGATCTGGAAGGCCAGGCCAGCAGTCCTGGCTTCCGTGCAGCCAGCCCCCAGTCTAACCACTGGCCAGAGCTGTGGCCCTGGCTGGTACAGGCAAAAACAGAGCCACAAAGTTAGACAGTACAGCGGGTCCTCGGATGACAGTCCATCCATTGGGCTTCCTTGTGCCATCGAGGAAAAAAAGCCGTTCTGGCTGGGTCCGCTGTGTGAAGTTGGCATGTCTCCCCATATCTGTGTGCATATTTTCCCGGGGACTCCGGTTTCCTCCCACATCCCCAAGGTTTGCACGTTAGGTGAAAAGGCTTAGGCGTGTGGACATTACGCCAAGTGGGTGTACGTGTGAGCCCTGCGACAAAGGGCGTCCTGTCCAGGGTCATCTCCCACCACCCCCGCGACCCCAAACGGGACTAAACGGGTTGGAAAATAATATTGCTTTTAGTCATCTTTCGTAAATGTATGTGTAGCTCACGTTTATTTCATTATTTAATATTAAAAGTGTCCTGGGTCTTTATTTAGAAGTTTGGTGTTTTTGTGACCAGAAATATGCCGTAGGCACTTAACTCATTTATATCGATTAGCCTGAGGTAAAATTGATGTTGTTACACGTCCGTTTTCTTCCGTTTTCAAGAGCCAACGGAAGGTCAGCAGACCAAGTAGTTTAGTGAGTGGCCCCTCCCCAGCCTGGGAGCCTCTAGTTCACTTTTTCCGCTTGTAAAGCTTGTTTGCCGGCCCCAGGAAGATGGCTGGGGGCAGGGGCGGGGCGCACTGCTCTATGAGAGCCACCAGGCGATTGTAACTGTCCTCCTCATACTGCGCGTATACGGCTGGCAGGTCCAGATCCTTGTACAGCGCCTTCACCCGGGCCACCTTCTCGGCTTCCTTCTGCCCGTAATTCTCCTGCAAGGGGTTGGAGGCAGGAAGACAGGCTTAGCCTTCCCCCAGCGCCCCTCACCTGTATATCCCAAAACACCTTCGAGGCCATTCACAATTTCAATGTCTACCACCCTGAACTCCCCCCTCCCCACCCCAGTGCTCAGTCAGATCCTGGCTCAGCCTTCAGCTTCCTCTCCGCAGGGTCTCTGACCCCGGGGAACTGTTGACATTTGGGACCAGGTCATTCTGTGTCGTGGGGGCCGTGGGGGCCGCTGTGAACTGTAAGGCGTGTGGCAGTGTTCCTGCCCTCCCTCTGTCACTAGATGCCTGTAGCACGTGCACACACCCCAAGTTGTGACAAAAGTGCTCATGCTGCCAAGTGTCCCGTGTGGTGAAAACCGCCCGCTCATCGGCTCGGGGACCCACAGCCCTCTTGCCAGCACCTGTAGGATCTGACGCTGCTCCGGAGAGGCCCGGAGCAGACACTGGACCACCAGCCAGCTGCATTTGTTGTCCTGGATGTCAGTGCCAATCTTGCCCGTCACACTGGGGTCCCCAAAGAGGTCGAGGTAGTCATCCTGGGCAGGGAGCAGAAAACGGGGTGAAGAGGCCCTAGGGCAGGGAAGGAGAACCAGTGCCTGGAGCCCTCTTACCTGAATCTGAAAGAACTCTCCAATCTCCAGCAGGATCTTCTTGGCGCTGCTGTGTTCCTTCTCCTCGTCGATGCCCGCCTGGCGAGGGGTGAGTAAGCCGGTCACCAGAGCTGCCTTCGCCGCCCTGTGCGGCCCCCACGTCTTCTTTCCTCTCCTTTCTGACACCCCCGGCCTCCTGATCTAGGCGGACCCACTGATGGTCCAATCTCTACCCCACTCATTTTTAGCTAGGCCTTCCTACACGTCGTAGCAGAGATTACTGTTATGGGCGCCCTCAAACTATCTCTCCTTTCCTGAGGATGTCCCTGGGTCACACTGATCCTTCTTCCTAATCTTTTTGCTCCCTCTGACTTCTTTCAGAGTGAAAAGGACAGTTGGAGAAGCAAGGTCAGAGGAGGCAGTTAATGCCACTGACCGCCCACGAATCCCACCTGCATTCTCTCCTCCCCACTCTTGTCCACAGGCAGATGGAGGACTTCTTGTTCCCCTATGATGGGACAACCACTTTCATACCACGTGCCTTGATGAACCTTTACAACAAACCCGGGAGGTGGGGGTTCTATCTTACAGCTGAGGAAACAGACTCAGAGAGAATACCTAACTTGCTCAAGGTCACACAGCCACCAGTAGGGAAACCAGACCGTCCAGAGTTGTCTGCTCTGCGCCCTCCTGTCCAAAAGCCCACCTGAGTGGGCAGCAACGGGTGTGGCGCTCACTCACCATATACATGGCAGCAGCTACAGGGAGGTACAAACTGTAGAAAGCTGTCTTGTACTTGACGATAGATTTGTACCTGAGTAGGGGGAGAAGACAGACTCCTCAGAAGGGGGAGGCTCACTGCAGCCCTCCCTCACTGTGCACGTATGGTTCCCACTGCCCCTCACCGCTTCTCAGTGAATCTGCCCAGATCCACTTTGTCCTGCGGGGCTGTCATGAGGTCCAGGGTCTGTCCAATCTCAGTCTGATAGGAAGTCTACGGAGGAAGATGGCCCATGAGGCGGGCTTTCTCCAGGGCTGGGGAGCCCTAGAATCCTGGGGCCCACATCCCATACCCGCTGACAAGTGGGCAGAGGCTGAAAGGCAGCAAGAGGGAGAGAGGACCCCCAAACTCAAGGCCCATATTCCTACACACACGCAGCCCTTTCTCACTCCTGCCAATCACACAGGGAGAGTGCCCTGCTGTTGCCGCCACCGCCACCGCCACCGCCACCGCCACCCTCTCTACCTCCTGCCTCGCATTCTTTCTCTTCTCAGCAGACCAGAGCCTCTCCTATGCCCTGAACCCAGCTAGATGAGGACAGATGGCCTGTTGGGGCCGAGGGTACCGGCAGCCACCAGGCTGGCACCCTCGTCTGCAGCCCACCTGCAGGAAGAGCTCAATCAGGTTCAGGTAATAGGGCTGCTCCCGGCAGTAGAACTTCAGCAGGCGATAGACACATGCTTCCAGAAGAAGAGCATCATTAATAGCATCCAGACCTATGCCTGGCTGTCGGGCACAGAGAGGAGGAGAAAAACAGGCCATCAGTCTCGGCCTGGACGCAGACCAAGAGCCTGTCCTCTGGGCACCTCGACAGGCTGTGCCACCTCCCAGTGGCCTGTTCCCAAGCCCCTTTACCTTCTGATACCAGCAGGTCTTCCCCCGTCGGATGAGGGATGAATCCATGATGTCGTCTGTCACCAGGAAGAAAGCTTGGAGCTAGGAAGAGAAGAGTGGAATGCGACCCTCAGGGCTCCTTGTCACACTGTCCCTTCCACCAGTAATACAGCTGCTCCTGAGAATCACTAAGCAAGGTGGGGAGGCCAGGGACTCGTTCTGGGTTGTGGGACTTTGGCAAGTTATGTGACCTCGTGGGCTCACGCTTCCCAAGTATAAACGGGACTGAAACACCTGATTTCAGATTAAGAGACGACAAGAGATCTGTGACATCTCTGGACAAGCAGCCCCCGACGGCCCCTGGTATCAGGGAGACAATGAAACCTCTTCAAATACTGTACTCTTGCTAAAAACGTCAATAAATGCTTCCAATAAGATTTCTTCGTGCAACCTGACTGTGCATGACTTCTGAAACATGCTGTCCCCGGGCTGCTGACACAAGACAACGGTCAGGAACAAATCTCCCTCTCAGGAAGCTCCTCTGGGGGTACAGAGCTAATGGGACTGAACTGATGTGTGACTCCTGGTGACTGTCACCCATGGGTCTCGAACACCTTGAAGCACTCTTAAACATTAGCAAAGAGTTCCCACTCTGAGCGCCTCCGTGAAGGCGGCGAAACGTGCTGGTCTCCCCTCTAGACTGAGCTCCTTGGAGGTGGGGGCGATGTGTGACCACTCAGCATTCCCAGAGCTAGCACAGCGCCCATCCCAGAGTGGGTGTGTCTTAAGGTTCGGCCAATAACTAAATAAACGAAACGCCCTCATGTTCCCCACGGCACTTCTTGCTGTCAAGCTACACATTCTGGCTCCTTAAAACAGCTTTTCAAGACGTGACTTTTAAATCTTCACCAAGTCCTGATGTGTGTGCACTCTGGTGGGTCTGTACTGCTCAGAGGAAGCACCTGACTGCACCCACCGGCTCCGGTGTAGGCCATGCAGAAAGGGCCATGCCCCTCGTTCAGGCCAAGTCCCTGGGGAAGGAGGTTCCATCTGCACCCCGACCTCTGCCCTCACCTTGGGGTGGGGCCTGGGCTTTCCACAGGGGCGCATGTTTTATTTACATTGTTTT